TATCCGTTCTGATAAGTTTCTCTAAGCTTTCAATCCCGTTGTCATTCGGAAGTCCCCGTGTGTGGGGATGCTGTACAAAACACTGCGTGTTTCTCCCACATGCACGAACAAGTGTTTCCCTGTTAAATGCGCAAGTACGCTCGTTTTTGCACGCCCTGTGGCTGGTACCAGCAGCCGCCGAGCGTGCGTTGTGTGGTGGATCGACCCGCAGACTGAACCTGTCCCGCCGTCAGCGTAAAATTCTGGCAATGCGTGCAGTCGTCTGTGATTTGCGTTTGTCTGACAAATGGAAATGTGTGTGTGTTCAGACAGACAGACAGATGCAGGCGTCTAATTCAATGCACACACACACACACACACACACACACACACACACACACACACACCACACACACACACACACACACACACACACACACACACACACACACACACACACACACACACACACACACACACACACACACACACACACACACACACACACACACACACACACACACACACACACACACACACACACACACACACACACACACACACACACACACACACACACACACACACACACACACACACACACACACACACACACACACACACACACACACACACACACACACACACACACACACCACACACACACACACACACACACACACACACACACACACACACACACACACACACACACACACACACACACACACACACACACACACACACACACACACACACACACACACACACACACACACACACACACACACACATATATATATATATATATATATATATATATATATATATGTATATATAAATATGCTGTCCGTTGTACACCACAGCATGTTCAGTGTTGTTGATTTTCATAATCGTTTGTCTAAGGGTTCGTATTGTGCGCTTGTCGTTTGCGCTGTGTCGATAGAGAATGTTGCCAAAGTTCATCTTTGCTTTCAAAGTTTCGAGCAGTTCCATGATCATTTTCAAGGCAAGCTTTACATTTGAAGCGTGCAGTTACAATCACAGTAATCACAGTGGAATGCTTTCCATAGGGGTTAGACCGGCTTCGTCAGATGCTTATCAATAATGGTCACACAAACACTGACTTTGACAATGTCATGAGATCTTCATTTGCTCACTTTCTCAAAACAGACAAACAACATAATGCATCTCGTAGTCGTCATGAAATATTGAAACATTTTGACGGAAATCTCCTACCCCATTTTGGAAAGTCCATGAGAAAGTATTGCGTGACGTTGTTCTCAGACACTGCGCCCGCACTGATCAATGAAAAAAACAAAGATTTCTTATATGCTACAAAACTCCAAAAGTATTTTCTCTCGTGATCAAAAATAACTGCAACCAAAACAAAGATAAGTTGAAGCAGACCAGTACAGCCAACTGTTTCCAATGTACTGCCGGTGACTGTGAAACCCGCAAAGTAAGCCACATTGGTCTGACTGTAACAAGTCCCAGCCGACGTCTAAACACGCACACGCGGGAGGGGGCACTGAAAACACATGCGCGGACACACCACAACAGCCCACTCACCAGAAATGCATTAGTCATGAACACTACCATACCTGCGCACACCACAGGCCGTGGACGCCTTGCCACAGTTAAAACAGTATACATCTGAGACATGACACGCATCATTAATACACAAAGCAACTCACACACTATCGCTCGAAGACATGCGACTGATGGGACATACCCCTCCTGCCCCCATAATTCACACCTACCTGAGTGGCAGCCCTTTAACATTTAGCATGATTGGTAAAAGTGAGTGTACAAATAAAGCATGTGACAAATTTGAGCTTGGCAAGTACTTGTGCTCTTCATCGATCCGTGAAGGCCGTGAAACTGGCGAAGGCAGCAGAAGGCGACATCACGCCCACGCAATGCAGATTCAGCAGCGACTCGTACGTCATCCGCGGTTGCTGGCCCGTGAACACTGGCATCATCGCGGCATCAGGTGCGCCAACGTCCACCCCACGGCAGTATCAGATTTCGCGTCCCTGGATGCCCACCACGGAAGCCGGCGCAACAGCGGGTGAACCCTGCGGCACTGGACCCACGAACGCCAGCTAGAACGGCAGCTCCGGCAAGGCTTGGCGTGAGCGCAGCGGAGCCATCCGGGCCGGCGGCGGTGTCACGACGGCCATCAGCAGTGGGCCACCACCCAACAGCGTTCCGAACGCCCGGTACGGAACGGGTGAAAACCCGACTCGTAGCCAAGCCCATGCACGACATTCCCCTGCTGTCGCCAATATGGTCACAATATATGGTCTGTATTACCCTGACTGTAATTAGCTGCGGATCGATGCCGCAGGCGGGTGGACCAAAGCCCGAAAATGATTGGACCATGCACAGCTCCAGACGCGAATAAACATGGTTTTATTCCGTCTTTCTACTGCGCGGTTAATTAGTCATTGGTGTTGAATTATTCACAGTTAATCAAGACACTCGCTGGTTTTATACAAGTTGGCGTCTATAAATTTCGTGGTCACCGACCGCGTTGCTAAAGAACGGAGGTTCGGTGAAGGTGCGGAACCTTGAGGCTCGGTAATGCTGGCAGCGGCCGAAAGAAACGGGACTATTGAGCTAACTGGTTTCATTTAAGTGATACAAACGAGGATGCGCACTAAAACATCTAGCATTCATAACGTCCAATGGTCAAAACGTCCAGAATTGCTGAACGTTACTGGAGCCTTGCGGCTTCGCCGCCGCCGCGCGACCGGCTCCATCACCACATCGCGACGGAAACCTGACAACATTCGGCGCGGTGTTCAAGTGCTTAAAAGCTTGTTTTAAGCCTTAAACAAGAGCGCAGCGTCCCTGTCAGTGCTTCTAATGGCCTGCAAGCAAAGTACGCCATGACATCTGTGGCATGTCTGGCGTGTGGGATTCCTGCGACGGGGCGTGGCCTGCGGCTGGCTAGAAGTTGCGCCCCGCTGGCTTAGCGACGCTCGCCGGCGGCGGTTCACTCGCTAGCTGTGGGACTGGCGCGCTGCCGGCGATGGCGTCTCAGCGACGGGACTTACAGCTCCGTCGATCGCGGCTGGTGCGCCGGCGGTAGCGGGAGTTGCCCGGTGCCGGCGAACTTGATGGCACGGTCTCGGGTGAGCTGATGAGCTCTGCTACCGGCTCCCTCGGCCGAGTGCTGCGTTTGTTGCAGACCGAGTGCTGCAGTGCCGAGTTCTTGTTATGCAAGGACACGGCGGCTCCGCCCAATCTACTCAATGACAGGGGTGCGGCAGCTTCAAGTGTGGGGGGAAGGGGGCAAACCTAAAAAGCCCAAACGGGACACCTTAGATAAGATAGTGGGTCGCCTACAAGCTAGAACGATCCCTTTAAGTCAATAATGGGCCTTTTGCAGGTCATAACGAGACCCATACGGGTCAGAATAGGTTTTCTCGACGACAAACTAGGCCCTCGATAGTCAAAAATGGGTCCTCTGTAAGTTAGAATGGGCTCACTACAGGTCAGAATCGGACACCTTTGGGTTAGAATAAGCCTCATTATGCCAGAATGGGCTTTTTGCAGGCCAAAATGGGACCTCTGCAGGTTTGCTTAAGCATTCATACAGTCCAGAAGGGCTCTCCATCGTCAATAATGTGTACATTACCTGTCAGAATAAGCCCTCTACCTGCAGGCCAGCATGGACCCTCCACAAAACAGATTGGACTCTCCGCAGTCAGTAATATGCCCTCTTCTGGTCGCAACAGGCCCTTTTCATGCCAGACTGGGCCATTTACAGGCCAAAAGTGTCCTTCTTCAGTCAATAATTTGATGATGATGATGATGATTTGAGGTTTTAGGGCGCATCGACTGCTGAAGGTCATGCAGCGCACATCAGTCAATAATTTCCAGGCCAGAATGGTCCTTCTACAAACCAGAATTATGAGAGCTACAGTCAATAACCAGCCCTCTACGATCCTGGATGGGCCCTTCTACAGGTTAGAATGAGTGGTGCACAGACCAGAACGGGCACTGGACACTCAGTACTGGGCCCGTTACATCTCGTACCGGGCCTCCATAGATTCTAATGGTTCTCTTCAGGCCAGAATGGTTCCCTTAAAGACTAGAATGGGTCCTTAAAACGCCAGAATGGGCCCTCAACAAGGCATAATGGGAACTCAAGTCAATGAGGGGCGTCTGCAGATCAAAATGGGACTCTAGAGGCCGGAAAAGCCATCTACAGTAAAAAAACAGCCTATCACTGGTCAGGATGGGCCATCTATTGACCAGAATAGATCTTATATAAGCTAGAATGAGCCCTCGACGGGTCAGAATGGATTTTTACAGGTTTGCATAATCCCTTTGCAGTTTCGAATCGGCCCTTAGCATGCCAGGATGGGCCCTCCACGGGCCCTTCAAGCTGGGAGGAGTGGGAGTGTGGAGGGGGGGGGGAGGAGCACCCGCCCCCAACTCTCAAGTGGGGGGAGGGGTGAGCCGCCACCATCACTCGCCGGCTCCCGCGTCCTTGCTCACTGACACGTGTAGGTTCTTTGCTTTTGCTGCCGTTCGCTGCTCGTGCGGCACGCTTCTGTTACACGGAGTGCAGCCGGTGCTGACGGACCGGTATCGCGCGATACTACCGCCGGGATTTACATGATGGCGTGGCGTAATTAGCATCACGCAACGCGCGGTGCTGGTGGCGTGGTCGCTCTGATGTTCGGTTAACTACTGCAACTACCCCTGCGCTCACCAGGTGTTTGGGATGTTTGAGACGTGATGTGTTTGAAACTCCGAAGAGTTTACGCGTGGTTGGCTGGTAGAGAGGCGTGAGTTGTTTTGCATGCCGTTTGTGGCTGTGCTGAGCCCGGTGCCTGTCTCGCTCCCTGGGGTGCTCCTAACTTGACGACTGGCCAGTGGCCACTGATTAGACGGGTCCACTGGGGTGTCCGGCGTCGGCATGGGGCTGTTTTAGAACCACATCGTGTCGGGACTGAAGAGGAACGAGGCGCAGCGACTTCAGTTCACACTGCTTTAGACAAATGGCAGAGGAGCGTTCCCCCGGCAGCTTCATGACGCAGGAAATGATCCACGTATGTGGGGCCCACTTGGTGGCGACAGCCTTTTTGAGATCCGTGGATCAGACCGTTTGTTTGGCCTTTAGTCCTAAACTGCCATGGAACACATGAGGTGAACTGCACAAGGCGTCTGCTAAGGTCACGGCGGCCGCCTTTGGCCGCTTGGCCCGGGATCTTTGCGGAGCCTGCTGAGGTCACAGCGGGACGTCTGGCCCAGGCTGTATGGAGCATGCCGAGGCCTCAGTGGCCACCTTGGAACGCGTGGTCCGGGCTCTGTATGGAGACTCTTGAGGTCAAAGCGGGAGTCGTAAGTAGGCAACCATAAATAAAGCGGGAGTAGGCAACGACAAATTTTACCAGACAGCTCATAAATACCGCAAATAAAATCAGACTACCCACATCCGTTTCGCGTGCATAAAAGTCCTCGCAGATGCACTTAACAGCTTAGATGCATGTGAAATAACCTAAACAATTCGACCTTAGAGTCTCCATTTGTCCTATGATGCCGAACTTTAAGCGTCTTATGACTGGTAAACGCGATTTCACTTAATCGCCATAACCACACCAAAGATGCCGCCAGCTCAGCACTGCCAATTTTGATACATCCCAAATCTATTCCAGTCCAGATGTCGGTATACTTTTAGAATGTTTGGACATCCACCAGGCAAGATGGGGCAAGACAAGGCAAGGCAAGGCAAGGCAAGTACTACTAGACAGGGCAACTACTACTTGGCAAGGCAAGTACCCAGTGTTCCATTGCCCCTATATTTGCCTGACTAGCGAGAAGGACTGGCACGAGCGAGACCACCACCAGTTTAACCGTCGCGCAAGCAGTTAGAAATCTGCTATACATATTGAGGCAATTCAGACACCGCATAGATAACCACTGATCAGAAAAATCCCGGTCATCTTCGGCGAAGATGTAATGAAATTTGTATTGATTGGGATAAGGAATGGTGAAGCAGAGCACTCATAACTAAAAGTTGCGCTTGGACTATGCCGGGACAGCTGACCCTGAGCCCGTATTGTTGAATAGTGTAAGAGAACGTAACGTGCATTCGCCCGGCCTCGCCCAAAACCCGACTGGCGCCTGCGAGCGTCGGGTCCCTGCCGCCGCCCCAGAGGCCGACCCTTGACCCCCGGCGAATCGGGAGACTCGTGGTCACGTGACGCCCCCCGGCACCCAGTCAGATGCAGAGCTCGGAATACAGTGGGGGAGAGGGCGCACATCCCGCACAATCACACCACAAGTGGTTTTGTGGGAGCTGGCAACAGGTGCGCTCAGTTTCTAGCATGTTCGACGACTGAGAAACGGTGCAATCAGCGCGCATTAATGATGTCGCCCCTCTAGCATCGCTGGGAATCCCAAAAGGTCTGTGTACATGTGAAAGCTACGCATTAATCAGATTAATGTCAGTCTACCTTCCAGCAAAGAAGGGAAGACGATGGTTACCGCGATCCATAAGCCAGTCACAAACAACCTTCAATATTTTCCTTGGAGGTGACTTACTGTCATCTATTACTCCAGCAGACACTTGAGGCGCGTCAAAAGCATTACCGGGAAGGAAGAGGCCATCAATAGCCATCCCCTCAAAAGACATGCGAAGAGCCAGTAATAGCTATGTCTTGCATGGACTTGCCGGACTCTGACACATACGACGGTCACTATTGCTGACGGTTGACACTACGACGGTGACGGTCACTGGGGAAATCATTACCGTCAATGGTGTCAATTTCAAACGTCCGTAAACAGTCAAGGAAAAATCGTTTTTCAAACTTATACTATGAGAGATTGTAAAATTAAAATGACTATGAAGTCTTTCAACAAAGAAGGAGTATATTGCATAATGCTGAGCGGCTTCGGTGCTAAGCAAAAGGCAAAAGGCAAAACCGCCGTGTGCCATCAACATGCCTTGAGTTATTCAGCGAGTTCATTAAAGGGAGGCTTAACGTCCGCGCTTCGCGCAACTGGTCGGACTTTTGCAAACAAAACCTCAGACAAATAGAACGACTTCCGAGGGCGGACAGAACGACGAGCGAACGGCACCAGTGCTATATGAGCCATGCGTGCCATTCGGCGTTGGGAGGCGCCCGACTTTTCTGTCGTCACACAAGCGACTCGATTCAGAATCACCTTGCCCGTGATTGCGGTCCACGGGGAGGGTACGCGTGGGCGCCAGCGGGTCTCTGACGTCACCAGCCGGGCGGGGCGCCGGTCCGCCATCGACGGCGATGAGGGGCAACAGAGCGCGACGCGCTCGGTTGCCAGGCGGACGTCGACGGCGGCGGCGGCGCCGGTGGTCGGCCGAGGTCAGACGGTGGCCGACGCAAGGGCAGGTCGGACGCGGTCAGTCGCCGCCATGCCGGGCGTCCGTGTCGACCCCGGCGGCCGGGCCGGGCGCGGCTCGCTCTGCGACGTGTGGCGGCGCACCACGGCCCAGTTCGTCTGCGAGACGTCCGTGGTGGGCGTCAACAACGCCGGCAGGACGCCGCACCCGTTCCGTCGCTTCGTCTGGTGCTGCCTGTTCCTGGCCGGCCTGGGCGTCACGGTCAATGACGTAGTCATCCTGTTTGGAGAATACTTCAGCTACCCGGTCACCACCGACTACAGCATTAACTTCCAGAACAAAGTCACTTTTCCGGCCGTCACCGTCTGTAACCAGAACAGCATCATGTGCAACAAGCTAGCAAAAATGCTCTTTAAGTTCCCGAACGACGTTCTCCTCCAGAAAGTTGCGAACAGTTCCTCTTGTTTGAAGTCCTGCCTAAACCTGTACCCGGGCGCCTCCAAAAACGGATTCGTGCCGGACTTTTTACGCGACCATCCCTGCTTCTCCAACACGTCAGCCAACTGCTGCCAGGCGGAAAAGGTTGCAGCTGAGTTGGCATTGCCGAACATCAGCCGTCTCATGAGCCTCCTCAACTGCAGTTGGCCGAGTCAGAAGACCGCCTCCGGCCCTTGCCAGCGGCCGCAGCTGCCAGGAGGAGCGGCACGGGACAGACGAAGCATCACAGATTCAACCGAGTCACTTCTGCAGGATGGGAGTTCGCGTGAGGTAGCTGCATGACAAACCAGCGGTTTTTGGGAGGGGGATACTGCCCCCTGAACCGTTTGATTTGATAGCGCCAGTTTCAGAGCCTTCACCAAGCATAGACTGTTAGGTGTATACTGCCGCATTCCCATCCTTCCATCTTCCTGGACTTATGTGCAGCATGAGAGCGAACCGTCAGCCACGAAGAACGGTCGCTGCTTATTATTCTTTTCACATTTTTCCACACCAGAGCGTAAGCAAACTAAGCCACTAAATATGCCTATGAGGTGCTCTTGCGTCGCATCTGACTTGAATGATTTATCGTGCATGCGCGGCATCAGTCAATGTGGCTGCTGTTTGCGGTTCAACATTGCAACATGCGGGGGTTCATGTACTCTAAAGTGGCTTTGATGTCATGCGAGGAGAGAGAGAGAGAGAGAGAGAGAGAGAGAGAGAGAGAGAGAGAGAGAGAGAGAGAGAGAGAGAGAGAGAGAGAGAGAGAGAGAGAGAGAGAGAGAGAGAGAGAGAGAGAGAAAGAGAGAGAGAGAGAGAGAGAGAGAGAGAGAGAGAGAGAGAGAGAGAGAGAGAGAGAGAGAGAGAGAGAGAGAGAGAGAGAGAGAGAGAGAGAGAGAGAGAGAGAGAGAGAGAGAGAGAGAGAGAGAGAGAGAGAGAGAGAGAGAGAGACGGAGGCGGAGACGGAGACGGAGACGGAGACGGAGACGGAGAAGGAGAGTCTGGTTCTTTAAGATCACGTTGGTAATAAATCTGGCGAACTAGACCAAGGCATTGACTAAGTCCTCATTTTAAATGAAGCATAGACCCAATCCTTGGAGAACTCTCGAGATAGTAAAATATATTCTCCTCCATTCTCCGCACATAAACGCATCATGCAATGTCAAAAGCTGCAATTGCGGAGATGCAATGGGTTTTCCTTGTTTTAGGGTCACAGCCATTATATTTATTCGTTTCAATCGATTCGTGTATAACATGACGGTGTATTTCACGATCAGTGTTGTTACAGGGAGATATCTCACACAAGCGGCGTGCTAGGTCCCCGGAAGACCCCGACAACAGCAAAAAGAAACCCCCCAGGTGAGTGACAAACGCGACGCATGAGATGATTTCCAGGCGTTGGGAGATTGGAATGAAGACAATGCTGGTTTGAATGGCATGAAGAGTATGCTGGTTTGATTGGGATGGAGATCGTGCTAACTTGATGTGGACGGAAGGCATGCCAGGTCTCGTGTATGTGGGTCACCTTGATTTCAAATTGGCTTTGCGCTGAAACGGATTGTGCATGTTTTTAACAAAAATCCCACTGACTTGGTTAATACAGCCAGATAGATTAAGGTGGTAAGAAACAATGGTAGCAGCATTTTGCTGGAAATGGTTCATCCGCACAAAAGAGCATTCCAACAAGTCTGGAACTGTCACTGTGCAATTGCTGTGGACTGGAATGACTCAATGCTGTTCGTCTTTGCGACTTACACAAATAGCTCAGGCATTACATCTAGCCTATAAACGAAGATTTTTGTGACATCGCACCGCTGAGATACACTGTTTTAGCATCAGAGCGCCGGATATGTAAAATGCATAAGCTGCTATTAAATTGGTAATTAAGTTGAGTGGGCTATACGGTAGTTTTACCCAATGCAGCAAAATGATATTTATCCTGACTAAACCCTACAACAGTGAGCTTTTTGCGCAAACAGACTAGACACTTAACTACCTAACGTTCTTCGTTGCAGCATGGGAGAGGATGCCATCCACAACAGCAATATGGCCTTCTACGCCCGGTTTGTGGGCTTGTCGGAGGATATTCGCGGTAATCTCTCGCAATCATTCAACGGGCTAATCAAGAGCTGCAGCTTCAACGGAAAAGATTGTCTTGATGAGAAGTAAGTCCCTTTGCCCAGGGGTAAATGAAAAAATAACGCAGCTCACGAAACAGATGCAGATCATCAAAATAGATCAATGATCATAAGGAGACGGTTTAAAGGGCGCACTCGCAGCCGTTTAGTGTCTTGTAACCTGAGCGATTTTCTTGCGTTCGGTCGAGATTGCTCCTCACGGCACAATCCGTGCTCTCGTCTGCCGCTTGCTGAGTGTCGGCGCCTGTGGGTTTGAATCATCGTCTGTTGGCCTGGTCACACTACGATATACCAGCTTCACCATACGCAGCTCGGCGGCATGCGAAGTGGACGGCGTCAGCGTCCGTTTACTGACGGACAATTTCCCTGCTGTCGGTGACAGCATTTAGCACATCATCAATTCCTCCCTTAATTGCTCAGAACTTTTCTGGCATGGCAACACGCCATTATCCACCCAGTCTACAAATCCGGTGACCTCACAGACTCACAGGGACAGGGATACGGTCCATATCACGTCTGTCATCTTCAAAAAGGTAGGACGGGTGATCATGGAGGCGGCTACCATTGTCCCTTCCATAGCCATCTTGTTTCCCTCAGCCATCACTCTGTGGAAACTATGCCGACATTGTTCACCGATCACATTTACAACGCCGCCGGTAGCGAGGAGCCGTCAATGCTGTACGTGATTGATTTGGTATAATGTTTGACGTCATTAGTCATAGCATGCTGCCAAACCTAAATCTACGTGCCGTCGATGCCGCCTAGTTCAAGTGTAACCTACGGGAGCATACGTTGAGCGTTATACTACCAGGCGCATAGACCTCACATCAACTGGACAATACCATGGGCGTATTTCAGGGGTCGGTCTTGGGGCCCCTGATGTTCGGCATTTTTGCGATCGGTGTAGTGTAGTTTTGTCCGAAAGACATAACTACCCCACGGTCACGGCCACGACGATACCGGTCTTGCGGCGTGGTTTTGTCGTGCAGTATGCAGAACCTATTCAGGTGCTTACCACAGGAAGAAGAAACGATCTTCTGAACAATGCTTAATTGCAGCACTACCACGCTGGTCACCCCTCTCGTCCTCTGACACGTCAGATATTGCGTTTGATTTATGATCATGGCACCAAAAAAGGACACAAGTCTTTGGCGTCGTGGCTTGTGTTATGTGTGGGCGTCGTAACTTCGACCACGCACCTGCGGCCTGCGTTATACGCGAGCAAGGCTCGGCGAGCTGGCTGCACAGCAACTTGCGACCACCTGCTCACTGTGCGCGGCGCATAAGGTCCCGGTATACAGTGCACCAGACCCCCTTGCGCCAATCCTCCCAGCGAGTGGCCCTATCCGGCTGCGGCGCACGAGGCGGCGGCATGTGCTTCACCTACCCCGCTCGAGGAGAGAAGCTGGAGGTCGGTGCTTGTCGGGCAGAGCACCTGCGGCGCCGGCGGCGCGCGAATGCCTGCTTATTGCAGTCGCTCGCGCGCGCTGTTCAGCATTTGCTGGATCGACCGCCGGAACAGATCGCTCCAGGAAGCGTGTGGAGAGCTTACCCTAGGTGGGCGTGTACTGCATGATGACTAAATGTAGTCCATCAAATGTGACCAGCGAATTGATAGCCACTATAACAGTGGATTACCACACGAGGTCAATACATGCATACATGTATGCATATATATATATATATATATATATATATATATATATATATATGTATATGTGTGTGTGTGTGTGTGCGCATGTATACACATGCGTATATATGCGCATGCATACATACATATGTAATACACACACACACACACACACACACACACACACACACACACACACACACACACACACACACACACACACACACACACACACACACACACACACACACACACACACACACACACACACACCACACACACACACACACACACACACACACACACACACACACCACACACACACACACACACACACACACACACACATACACTCTCTCTCTCTCCCTCTCGCTCTCTCCCTCTCTCTCTCTCTCTTCGCTCTCTCTCTCCTCTCTCTCTCTCTCTCTCTCTTCTCTCTCTCTCCTTCTCTCTCTCTCTCATTCTCTCTCATCTGCACTTAAGACCACTTCTGTATTAAACAGAACCTTCAGATCACTTCTGTCACCACAAAGAGAGCGCGCCCTCTACGGCTATAAGATGCGATTTTCAACTGATCGATTTCTGTTTTCATTGTTTCGCAAATGTGCTAGCTAAGAGTACCTTTTTTAAAATGGCCTATCCGCTAATGAGCAGCTGATGCCTTACCTATATCTATATATATATATATATATATATATATATATATATATATATATATTGTGTGTGTGTGTGTGTGTGTGTGTGTCTGTGTGTATGTGTGTGCATACATACACACATGTATCATAAATATATCCATCCACTTCAGCTTGATATACTTAAGTTAAGCATGGCATGGACGAGACAAACCGAGGGGAAGATCATTAAGGCAGACTCTTCTTAGTTAATTGTTTGTTGTTTGCTCACGGGCCAGCTGCTGAACGCCACGTGTAGGCAGCGAGAGAAGTCCTGTGTTGGACTCACGGCAGACAAAGTTGCGGTTTACGTGGAAACCCTGTAGTTACCGTCTTGTTTGGACAAAAGAGCAGGGAGGCTTTTTCAAGATCTCAGCGACACAGTCACCACGGACATAGCTCAGCGCGAATATACCTGAACGCTACCCATACGCCCATTGCGGGCGCTCTGTTCGATGTTTTTCGCTACAATTCAGCTACGCAGCATTCCATAAATAACCTAACGCTTTAAAAAACGAGTGTTCCTCACAGTATCTAAAATGGCTACCGGTCTTGCGCCAGATTCTTCAAGAAGATCAACACACCGACGTACGGCAATTGCTACGTCTTTAACAGCAACTTGTCCCGCAATTCAGCTGCTTCGGACGACCTGGTGCACTCATCTCTAACAGGAGCTAACTACGGTAGGTCCACTGTCTGACACACTGATGGGTCCTTCGCCAACAACGCTCGGAGTTGAGAAGCGGGGTTTATATTCCTGTGCCGTATTGAGAGCTGCATGGTCAATATGTGGTCAATATGGCATATTACATCGTGCTGGCATTGCGTTCTGTATGAGGAAGTTACGCGCGTACCGCAGTACTTCAAAAATTAATACAGGTCTCCAAGGCCTTTCTCCTGCTCCTGTTCTTGGTTTTTCGGCAGGGAGTGCAAAGTGCTTATGCTAGCAATTACTGCAGCCGAGCGAATCTTGGTTCTATTATCAAAACTAGATGTACCAGGCTAGGGCCAAAGTCACGAGTGAGAGTAAGTATATAACAAAACATATTGTACGTGTGCATTTGAGCATACTGAAGAAGACTAAACCAAGACGTCTAAAAAACACCCAGTATACAAAAAGGATACCGCCATATCAGTATAATATCACCATAAAGGCTTACAAGTAGTGTAGATGACGTTACCGGCCTCTGATCAGGAAATCCAGCAGGCAGCAATGCGTAATGTAATGTTTTGCAGCCAGTCAGAACACGAGCGAGAAAGGGCCTAAGGTGAGCAACTTCAAAAAGTACGATCGTTTTGACACCAACCCATGTAAATATTTCGCAGTAACATTGTGAAAATCTTGTGAGGACTCTTGGGTAATTTTTTATTATTTTAATGTGAGTGTCCTGCATTTGGAGATCTTAAAGCCAGCATCGCATGTCATGAAATGAGTTTACTTATATAACTGTGTGCATACTTTTAAGTGGAAAAGACTGCTTTGCACAACAAACTTTCCGCTATGGCGTTGTTATTGCGTAGTTCGATGGCATGGTTTATTTCTTTGATAACTAGGACCACTTTCCAACTTCTTGCATTATGAAGCACAACACGTGATGTGTAATTACAGCTTACATAGTCTGCACAACTTTGATTGAGAGCCAACTGACATTCTTCATATTTGTAAATCGTGCTAATAAACGCCAGATATAAACGACTTGCCGGTTATATTCGCATTGGTCTTCAACGTAGCGTGGCGAATAAGGTGGCAAGATTTGAATGACGTATTATGACGTCATGTATGCCTGAACGGCCTTGAAATGGTCTGTACGAGCTAGTCTACGCATCTTCGTGGGCGTGTAGCTTAGAAACCAGAGGGCTTTAGGTCTTAGGAGGGCAGACTGTGAACTTCACTGAATGATCTTGAAGCTCTGGAGTTCAGTTCAAAACCCCATACAAATGTGGAACATTCCCTTCAAGTTTTTCGTGCAGGCGACAAGCCACGCAATTTTCCAACACGTCCTCGCGCAGATGGCCTCGTACAATGTAAGGAAGCGTTCTGTTTTCGGCGAGGCGGGCGCACGTCACTTCACCATATCATCTGGCAGTTGCGAGTGTTAGGCGCCCGTCGGCCTTATGACCCAACGGCCGCAAGACAATCTTAAGTTCTGATCCCAAATAGCGTCACGGAGCAGCCGTTGTAAATGTTGTCGGCATCAAGCCTCAGGTAGTGTGCACCTTGTTAGCGGTGATGTGCAGCCTCTGATCGTCACGTGCCACGCAGGTCTGACGTTGGTGATGCACCTGGAGCCGCAGCATTACATGCAGTCCACCGTGGCGCAGACACTGGGCGCGCGTGTCACGATCCACGGCAATGACGTATTCCCGCTCGTGGACGAGGCGGGCATGGACATTGGACCGGCAAGCGTCAGCTCCATATCACTGAAAGAGGTGACGTCTCTCTCTCTCTCTCTCTTCTCTCTCTCTCTCTCTCTCTCTCTCTCTCTCTCCTTCTCTCTCTCTCTCTCTCTCTCTCTCTCTCTCTCCTCTCTCTCTCTCTCTCTCTCTCTCTCTCTCTCTCTCCTCTCTCTCTCTCTCTCTCTCTCTCCTCTCTCTCTCTCTCTCTCTCTCTCTCTCTTCTCTCTCTCTCTCTCTCTCCTCTCTCTCTCTCTCTCTCTCTCTCTCTCTCTCTCTCTTTCTCTCTCTGGCGCGTGAGCTTCATGATAACATGGTTAAACGCGCGCAGCATTTTTCCTTTGACAACGGTGCGTAAGACTTTTTCTTAACCGCTAGAACTGGAGGTTTCACCAGTTTTTTGCTGGTTTCCGCAGACATATTGATGGCCCGTGAACGTAGATTGCAGATCGAAATAGAGTCAAAGACTTACGTCAGACAGAGGGCCTCTTGCGTTGGTTGGGTCCCTCCTACCATGAAGTGAGATGTGAGAACTTACGACGAGCTCGTAACGAAACAATAGAACGACCCTGTGTCCGTCAGGGCCTATAGCACGGAGCGGGGGGGGGGGGGGGGGGGGTCATCCACCTTATTTCAGCTTCAGGTCCGTTAAGCCAAGCCGGAGTATCGCTGCCAATTATTAGACCGCATGCGGCGATAAGGTGTCTTGTTGCGCCAATGAATGCTCCTGCATCGATCTGGTGCCAACAGCCCGGTTCGAAGGCCTCCCATTCCAGGGAAGGGCCAATGTATGATGCAACCCTCTAAGTGCCACCGGATTGACCACGAAACCCCGCACTCGCGTCGTCAGAACGACAGCCGGTAGGCTCCACGCGCTTGGACTGAGTACCTCTTCAGCCGCTGGCCGCGAACGATAATGTTCCTCTTGTGTTCTACACACGGGCCCCTTGCCCGTAAAAGGTAAGGGGTCTCACGTGTGTACCAAAGGGGGATCTAAATGGGGTAAACAAATGAGGCAAACGCTTCCATAAAAGGAATTCCATGTTTACCCCAGGCTTTATTTTCTTTTGCAATATCGACTCGTAAAACATATTACACGCAAACTTTTGACATTTCGCGCTCGCAAGTAAGAAGTAAGACAGCTATAGGCGAGGTTGCAATTTTCGTAAAACCAGAGCGTTTACTGCTGCAGGTAACATCGGGCGGCGGGCGCCGCGCGCGGGAACGACCGTCGTGAAATAATGCTTCAGAAAGTCGTTCAAAATCCATTCGCACTGTCAAAAGATTGTACCTTAGCACACTTTCGGTGCCGTCATTTTAAACTTGTCTTCTGAATAGATCAACAACGAAGCAACACGAAAAATGGATATTCTACCTCAATCAAAGTCAATCATCAATCAAATCAAATCAAATCAAAGTCAATCAAAGTTCACAAAATCCTTATTATCTTTATACATCCCAGAACAAATTCTGGTAAAGCCTCTGGCTCTGACTTATATCGGTTTACAAAGAGACCACTTGTAAATGTTGTTGTAAACAACAGTTGTAAAATGTGTAGCGCCGGAGGTTTATTTCATACAGTTATATAGTTCCATGCAGTTAGTTATACAGGCTTATTTCATGCAGTCTTCCATCAGACTACAAACAGAATTGCTTCTGCCGGTCGCTTCTTTGGCTTCTGTTCCTGCTAACGAAGTGAAAAATGAAAATAAAACGACGAGAATCATGACCGTTCCAAATCAAGTGAGCAAAATCTGCTGACTTTTGTTGCTGGATAGGGTGTGGGGAGCTTTTACCATCAGGTAACCGTTTATCAACCCTGTGCCCCCCTCTTACCAAGGTTCTGACTGCGCCCCTGTCTTCGAGCCCCTTTTTGAGCCACCTTCGGGTTTTCTTGAACTTGACCCCTGGCCGATTCGGGGCCACTCGGCTCATTTGGAATGCACTACAAGGCTCACACTAATACGGAGCCAACTGTTCGGTGCACGTAGTTTCTGGCCGAAATAAGCCCCGCATTGTCCCAGGCTTCTCAATCCGTGCAAGGGGCTTTCTGACTGACATTTTAGGGTAAGGTCCTGCAGGCCGGGGCCCTTAACGTGTCCTTCCGCCAGTTCCGTCCGGCTCTTCGGCCATCCAATCAAACCATTGAATGTCGGTTCCGGGAGGGGGAAGGGGGGGGGGGGGCAAGGGGCCACTTTCAGGTGCCTCGAAAGCTACCCCTGGTCAACTTGGGCCGTTTATCAACAATGAGCTCCTGTTCGGCATTGTTGGCCCCTGGCTGGCACAGGGGACTCCTCGTTGGCTTGGGGGTCCCATCAATGTAAGTCGCGGGCCCCGGCCCCTCGTCTCCGCTTGGCAAATGGGCCCGCGGGCCTACGCCGACACGGAGCCGACTGTTCGGTACTGGTGTTGCCTGAGCGACATAGGACCTTCGTCGACTCAAGGAGGAGGGGGGGGGGGGGGGGCAATCAGCGGAAAGGCCTCTCTGACCCACGGGTGTCCATTTCTATTTTTGTGAAGGCCCTGGCCCGTCTAATGTTGAGTTGCCACTCCCCATGTTGGCTTGCCTCCTCAATATTTTTGGTTGGAATATTTACAAAAGCGTAGGAAAAAGTTCGTCATCACACAAAAAATCTTCTTTAATCCTTTCTCGACCCCGCGACCTCAAAATTATTTTCGTCAGTGGGAGATAACTTTATCATTACCGGGTGTAAAATTTTCTATTTGGCGATTTTTTGTTTTATCTGTCAACTTTAAGCCCAGACGTTTTTCTCCCCACAACCCAACCATGATATTGACGCCATTGATTCACTCGTCTTGTTGACTCTGACCACGATATACCATGACACTGCCAAACGATATTTTGTCCCATACCCATGGCGGGGTACGTACCTAACGTTGTTTCACTCGAAGTTGAGACCCGAGTTGCTTTGATGCAAAGTTTCCTGACAAAACAAAATCAGACATCTTTTTTTGGCAGGGCGTCGTTAGTTCAGATTGTAAGCCCAGTTCAGCTGAGATCTTCAAAACATGGAAATCTAGACACACCTGATTCACCGGATGGATTACCCTGCATGTGAAATCCCTCTCGTCAAAATTTCAGGTTCCTTTGTCATGACCTTGGGGTTAGATAAGGCCAAATAAGGTCGAACTTCAAATTAGTGTCTTAAGCGCACCCCGACCTTCTCATGCAACCACCTTGAACCTAGGTATCTGTTCTAAGTAAATTATCACTAGTTTTTGTTAAGGTCAGAAACCTTTTTTAACACTTGTAAGGTCAAAACGACCAAAAACCTATGAGATGATTCCATGTTGCTGTTTTGAATGAGTGGCAGCGAGTACGGCAGGCGGTATGATCCAAAAACCAAATGTTGATCTAGGTAATTTGAGGTCAGTGACCTACCCTGACCTTTAAGAAGTTCATGGAGCATGTCCGTTACGGTTCCTGCTATTAATAAATTTGACAAGAGCAACAAAAGCTATCACTTAAAGCAAGCTCTCGAGTAGAAAAGCAGGCTTGTTTGACCTCGGTCCGACCTTCATACCCGATATTAGGTCAATATGATTTGTTGCAGTTATAAATTCAGTTGTTTTATTGCCTAAGAAACTATTTCCAAAATGCATGGCTACGTCTAACACTCCACTGTCGTATCAGATTGAACGATTACCCTGATAGGCCACGGCTGACAGCCGCGGTCTGACTTTGACCTATCACAGGTCACTGACCTCACAAGGTAAATCTGATTTTAAGTAAAAGATCGGCTATTCAATTACCTGCAGCTAGGCAAAGTTTAGCGAGGTTACACCGCATCGTACAAAACTCATTCTCAAAAAAACTTCGGGGGTTGGGGCCAGTGACCTCCACCCGAGCGCGTGTTAATAGAGACAGTAATGTTGTTTTTGACATTTAGTACGCTTTTCGGTGCCATATAAGGACAAGGTCTGAGCTTCATCTGAAATCCAGTGGTCAGTGTGTTTTATTTTTAGCTGTGTTCTTTTGCCATTGCGGGGAATTCAATGACCTCGGATTGCATCAGACTTTCAGATTGCAAGGGAGAAATGCTTCGCCGTGTGCGGCAGATGATAATGTCATAATATGACATAATATGACATAATATGACATAATATGACATAATATGACATAATATGACATAATATGACATGACATCACATAATGTCATAATATGACACTATATGACATTATATGACATATAATTTAATGATACGCAATCCTACGCATTTCAGTCAATCTTATTTTGTAGGCTGGGCACTCACACTGTGTTATGGCGACAGAGTATAACGCTCATGCAACTTAATTAGCTTACATAATATGGCATACATCTATTCAACGGAACATAACGCGCACCTCAGTTTTGCGGCAATAATTAAACGACAAGTAGGTCTGTGGTCGTCTTATTAATGGGACACGCATTTTCCACACCACAGGCACAACGGTGAGCCTCACCACAATTTTTACAGCACGTTTCATGTATTTCATGTATCCACCATACATCAAAGGCGAATGAAAAATTTGGTACGACGCCAAATTCAGACAAAATTTCTACACTTGCACGAGTTTTGAGACCTAAAACGTGTTCCTGGCTGGCCAGGTTTCGGAGCAGCGGCGGGTTTTTAGGAACACTGCACGGCGATCTACGACCGGCGCGAACAACGGGCGGCAGCCACGGTGTCTCGGAACGCGAGCGGCGCGCCGACATTGTTACACTACATTGTTACACTACAAAGCCATATATCGTAAACATATGCTCAAAGTACGCCGAAAGGTGCACTTTAGAACCCAGAACTGAACAAGAAGCACACCTAATCAGGTTGCGTGTTGCCGCAACGCATAGTCTGGTAGGTATGATGGTACAAAGCTGAAAAGTGCGGTGTTATCAACATTTGACCTTTTGAGCTGGCATAATGGGGTAAAATATTAACCAAGCAATATAAAGGCTAGCATTACTCGCGGGATCTTGGTGGCAGCAGTCCGCCGGTATTTTCTGCTAAGCTCTGCCCTCATTAGTTTGGAAACGTCAGTGGGGTCGCATCGACCCCCCCCCCCCCCCCCATCAGTTCGCGTTGTGACAGACGGCGAATCAGGGTAAGGGTAAGACGCGTAAATGCATAAGAGTTTAAACTGAAAAGCTCCGCAGCACGGAAATGACCCACGTTTTTTACAACTGACCCGGTCCCCGGCCCTCACAACCAAAACTACGTGCCGCCGCCCCTGCCCCCCCCCCCCCCCCCGTAAAAGAGTGTCTTCGGCGCCCTTGGCGGTCCCTAGAGGGGTACTTTTACTTTTGGATTGAAAGGTGTGTGTTTTTCATTGCCCTTTCCCTCCCTCTCTCTACTCTAGATCTGTCCCCGGACTATGCACGTCTACCGTACTGCTCAAATGAAACTTGATTTTTAAATTACATAAAACATCAAATTATAACTTACTTTTCATCAAAATAAAGGGACCAAATCGGTTGAGAAAAATGTGGGTACGTTGACGGGCCTCTAGTTTGCCTCCCCACCCGAAATCATTTACAAAAATCGACACCACTGCTCTGACTGGTATGTGAACGCCCGGCCCTGCGGGCTCCCTTTATGTGACTTCCGGCCAGCCAGTTGAACCCTTCGGCCCCTAAAAGTGGAACTTGAGGGGGGCGTGCTTCTTTTGCCCCCTGCCTGCGCCACTGTCCTCTCAAGTCAGGGCAGCCCGTAATCTGCTGAGCCAGCAGCGCTGGTATTGCAAGTTTGGACCGATTAACGTATTTATTTTCGGTGTAGCATGTGTGTGCCACTCCTAATAGCGACGGGTCACACTGCTGTCGCAGAAACTCAGGCGCTACCTGGCCTTCGCGCGTTTGAATTCCTCCAGCCACGAGGTTAGATCCAGGTCTGACCTGGCGTCCGCACGTGCTGGAGGGGAGCTGATAGACCTTAACATGTTTCTCACTGCTAACCTAAGAACCTATGTGTAAGCTTGGTTTGTCTTCTACGAACCTCACTCGTCACTGTTGGTGGCATTCTATTCATCGATATGTCACTGTTATGCATGTGTTTGTACTTTGTTTCAAACACTCCCACGCGAGCATTCATAGCCCTATTCGTCACCTGGAAGCTGATTAATCACCGAAGAAGCTGAGGCCGAGCCAGAAAAGCGCATTGCCTCTGTCGGCAGACGCGGATCACTCGACAGGAGTATCCCTACCAGTCCAACTGCTTCCGCACGTGGTCGCAGGTCGGGGTGGAGCCCGCCTACGTTGATGCTACCACAGGTGCCACCAGCCTCACCGGAGAACGCTTCACCCTCTCCGTAAGCAGCGACCACTGAGTTACCACAGGTGCCACCAGCTTCACCGGAGAACGCCTCACCCTCTCCGTAAGCAGCGACCACTGAGTTACCACAGGTGCCACCAGCTTCACCGGAGAGCGCCTCACCCTCTCCGTAAGTAGCGATCGCCGAGTTACCACAGGTGCGACCAGCTTCACTGGAAAACGTCTGACCCTTTGCGTGAGTAGCGATCACCGAGTCACCACAGGTGCCACCAGCTTCACTGGAAAACGTCTGACCCTTTGCGTGAGTAGCGATCACCGAGCTACCACAGGTGCCACCAGCTTCACTGGAAAACGTCTGACCCTTTGCGTGAGTAGCGATCACCGAGTTACCACAGGTGCCACCAGCTTCACCGGAGAGCGCCTCACCCTCTCCGCCGGAAGCGATCACCGACTTCGTTTGTGGATGCCTGCGATATGCGGACGTTTTCGCAGCATGTGTTGTTACCGTTGTGGTTATCACAAAGGAATGGTGAGAGCTCGTCAGGATAAAGTTGGTGACTACGGCAGCAAATTGATAATGTTACGGACGTGTGGATGCAACAAGGACGACGGGATGGGGAACTTCTGATTGGTAAAGAGGTGCTCAAGGATGAGCCAGCTTGTAAAGTCTTCGACATGCACTGTAGCTGCATTCAAGTCGATGCATCTAAGCCAGGTTTTTGGCTTAGGAAAACCGCCATCTGGCGACCATAAACAAAGCAGCGAGCTGTGAGATAAGAAACCATGGATAATTTTCTCTTAATTTGGTGCGGGTGACGGGATTAATGCGTGCTACTGAAAATGAATGATGTGACGTTTATTGCTTGGAATTTGTACGTGTTTGGGAGCTCTTCAGCTGGAGATGATGCCAACATTTGTTCTCAACCATTTTTGTCGCAATCAGGTATTCAGGTATGGGCCTAAGGGTAGCTTATGGCCTCCTTTTTCTCACAAGCTGGGTTTTTCCGCTGATGCAGAGTGCATGCGCTCATTACACGCAGCGGTGTTGGTCATGTAGTGGACCGAGTGAGGGATGAGAGGCTGCAGCCCACCTTCAGCTGTTGAGGAAGCGGTGGCCCCGTGTCCCGGCCCCGCGAGTGGACCGACTGAACGCGCGCGCGTGTTCCCCGGCAGGAGTGCCACCGGCACTGCCTGCAGCTGCGTATCGTGCGTGCGTGCGGCTGCTACCACGTCTTGTACCCGATGCAGTATGCCGTCCACGGCCGGCTACAGGCTGTCGGTCAGCCTTGCCTCCTCACCTACAACTGTGAGTGACGGTCCGCGGCTCCTCAAGGGCCGCGGCTGGTGCCAGCCGGGCTCGCTCCGATCCATCAGCCGCTGGCTCTTAGGCCATGGGCGTCCGCTTGCTGCATTGAACGCCACGTTCCGTCCACCCTGGTGTCCGTTGCGCCTGGTAATCGTTAGCTCCAAGGATTTCTGGTGTCGCTCTGGTCATCGCTGGTATGGACGTGAAATGTCTAATAAGAGCGCAATTCTGTTATCCGCACCCTCATTCGATATCCTAGTGGGGTGCACTCAATGCGGGAATACCTTATTACTGGGACGATCATTTACACTACTTACGTGTTTGCCTCATTGGCTTTTGACGCTGATCCGCGCATGGACGGATGTGCTTATTCACATCTAATTGGTCCATGGAGTGGAAGTCTGGAAAGCCAGAAACGCGTTACGTGTGAAAATTGCTCCAAAGATGAATCACGGGCAGCCTGCGATGCATGTCATTGAGGATGCGGAGCCAGCGGCGCAACCAGAGCCTTGGCAGGCAGGAAAGTGATCAGGGTTGACTGAGAGCCCCTTGATGCCAAAAGCCCCCCTCCTGAAAGAAAGAAAAACCTCCAGGTCTATTGTTAATGAATGTCACTTCTTGTTTTGTTATCATTTTTACATTCTTTACCTGAAGCGGAAGCCAGAAGCTACCGCGAGATTTGTTTTGTTTGAATTTCGAAGGCGATAAACTGAAGAAATAAGGCGTTGAACAAAAACCTTGGCCCCTCATTAAACCTTACGTTAAACCTGGGACCCTCGTTGGGCCTCATCAAACACTGCCCTTGGTTGACTCGGGGCCCCTTGCCAGCGCCATTAGGCGCTGTGGACCCCTCATAGATGCAAGGGCCCCTACCAATGTAAATCGGTTTTATCTCTGTTGGGAAATGGGCCCTCAGCCCCGTACCGACGCAGAGACAACTTTGCTATTCTGTCGGTATCTGGACAACGTATGGGCACGATATCAGACCAGTGCAAAGGGGTCTTTGACTGTCATTTACTGGTTTTTCGACTGGTTTTCATTCTGAGGGCACGCTCCCGCGAGCCGGGGTCCCTGAATAAGACTCTGGCCAGTCGTTCTTACCCTTAGACCCTCCAGTTGGGCCCTTGATCGTCGGTCCCGTTGTGCCCTCTACGCTCTCTTCAGGCCTCTTCAAACACCGCTTCTGGCCGACTCGGAGCCCCTTGCCAACACAGGGCCCCCTGTTAGATACCATGGGGCCCTAAAAGACGCTGAGACCCGTTCCTGTTTGGGAAATGGGCCCTCAGGCCTGTGCTGTCACGGAGCCGACTGTGCGGTACCTGTGGCGTCTGGCCAACATGTAGGTGGTCGACTCAGGGGGACCGCACTCAGCGCAGAGGGCCCCCTGGCTGGCATTGGAGCGCCTTGCCCTGCAGGCCGGGGCCTCTGAATACGAACTTCGGCCGGCTTTCGAGCTCCTGGGACGCTCATCTCGGCCCTCTCTTTATCGATGGTCCCCAGGAGGGTCCCTCGGGACGTAAGGGGGCGTGCGTGCCCTCTGTACCCCCCCCCCCCTGTCTGCGCTCCTGTGTAGGACCCTGCTTGAGGATGGATACGTGCCGGATGACACGTCTCTTTCACTGACAGATAAAAGCATTAGCAACAGACGAGGAAAACACCAACGGTACTGGCGAAACTGGAGCGGCTTGGTGCGGTTCGCCTAAGGCTTACTGTCACGTGGCTCCGACCGCTTGACTACAGCTGGTTGGCAGTCAGTCCCCAGCCAGATGCCCATGTCCTGTCCTCTCTGCCCAACATATGCTGTCTGTTTTCAGCGCAGGACTCGAACTGTACGGAAGCGGTGATCGCCGACATAGCCGGGGGCAACGCGAGTCGCGACTGCGTCTGCTCCGTCCCGTGCGCGTGAGTCTGGGCTGATCAGATGTGGCGTCACGTGGCGTGACTGCGTCTGCTCCGTCCCGTGCGCGTGAGTCTGGGCTGACCAGACATGACGTCACGTGGCGTGACTGCGTCTGCCCCGTCCCGTGCGCGTGAGTCCGGCCTGACCAGAGGTGACGCCACGTGGCGTGACGTGGCGTGCGTCGTGGCCCTGCTCCCACCCACCCTGTTCACATGGGCGACCGAAGGGAGTTCGAATTTAGACCGGAAGGGATAATCCGACTGTGAACTAGGGACGGAGGAGGACAGCGGGGAAAGACACGATCGCGAGCTTGAAATCCACAGATGATCCTCAGGTAAACAGGTGATCCTAAAGATGAACATGTTCATACTTCGGATGAACAGATGATCCTCTCATGGGAAAGGAGGGCAGCCGGCGTGGGATTTCGAGTTCAGTGTCGAGTTTTGATTTCCAGCAGCTTTCTTCCCAGGTCCAACACTTCCTGGCATTCACGCATCTGCATTCCTCTTTCCTGTAAGCTGCTTTATTCGACCAGGGCAGGTCAATGAAAGGTCATAACTTGGATACCCTGGTATCCTTTAGATCATTTAAGGAATAAAACAAAATGGGTGTTATATTGACCCTCGTGGTGTCGACGTTTGTCACGCCTACAGAAGCTTACTCTGAAGGTTTAAGGTCAACGTCACGAAAAAATGGCATTTTCGTGGTATATCTTCGTTCATTAAGAAATTGCAACACAAGGAGTCATATTGATGCTCGTGATGTCCGCACACCTGATGTTCGATGTTTCGTCACATCTGCAAGAATGTCCTTGTTAGATCAATAGTCAAGGCTACGCTAGACTCGGCACACTAGAATGTATTCAATGACTGTCCACATTTTCTTGATCTCGTCTTCGATTTTCTTAGACGTGCTAATATCCTTCAAACACCGTGAAGGGTTGTCAGTTGAGCAATGTCATTTACTTTTTCAGTCACATATTTGAGTTTGATTTGAAATAGTCCTGGTAAAGGCGTGAATTGGTCCAAGTGAACCGAAACGCCTCAAACCCAATAAAAAGCATCTTGTAACATCAGATCTTCTGTTCCTCTTTCTTGCTTTATCGAGTGTCCTCGCGAAGCCTCGCTTGTCCGGGGCAGGCAATATGCGTCGGGCACGCGTGAACCGAGGGGCCCCTGGAGGGGACCCCAACTGGGCGCCCAGCGCACACCCCGCAGAGAGGTCCCTGTGCGGGCGAAGGCTCGGTGGTTGGCCCCCCAGGCGCAGTTCTGCCCCACCGCTACCCATTCTCCTTTATTCCATAGCCCCGAAATGATCACTTCTTGTCGAAAGGGCTCTGATCCAAATATCCAAATAACGAAATAATGCTGTAAAAGAATCGCCTAGCTCGCGCCCGTGGTCCCCGGCTAGGGATCAGGGCTATCCTCTCCCGTTGTTGTGCCAAGGAGGACGTTGATAAGGTTATTGTCGGCGTCGCGTGTCCCGCCTGCCTTGACCCTTCCAGAACTCATCCGCAAGCACGGCGCGCCTCCACAGTGTTTGTTTTCGTCACACATGAAAAGTCTACGGTCAGAGGTCACGAAACGTAATGCTCTACCATTTATTCATTTAGTGAGGCAGTGCAACAAAAGACCCATCATATTGATGCCCGTTATATCAGCTTTTGTTGCACTAATTCTTAAGGTCAAGGTCGCTCAAAGGGTGATACCCTAGCATCTATTTGTTCAATAAAGTCGCATCACGGATGGGGTATCATTGATTCTTGTGATGCCTGCTTTTGTCATATTTTAAGAATCAACTTTCAAGGTGAAATGCGTGCGTAACGCAAAATGCGGTACACTGGTATTTCTTTTTCCAAAGAAATGCAAAAACAGAATGAAATAGCCATCCTTGTTGTGTACAATTTGGCCACACACGGAGAAGCTGTCCCTGACGGTCAAAGATCAAGGTCACATAAAAGCGGTACCTTCTCGTTAATTTGTTTAGTAAAGAAACATAACAAAATGGGCATCATAGTGACGAACGTGATGTCGACTTTGAAAGAAAAAGTGAAGGTGCAACGAAAGCTGGCATCTCAAGCATCAATGTGCAAGGATTTTTACTGTATTTTCTTACGAAATATACAAGGGGCAGTATATTGCGCTTTATGTTACCTTCATCTTTGACCTTGAGCATAATCCGAAAGGAGACACCACGAACATTAATATGACATCCCTTTTGTGGCATTTCCTCAGTAAGCAAATTCAGGTCAGGCTGCGGTGTTTTGTGTGACCTTGATTTTGACCTTGAAAATTATTTTTCTAGGGTGCTTTAGGGTTTTTTCTAGGGTACCGGGTTTTTGTGGCCTCGGCGTTTGACCTTGAGAGTTAGTTGCTGCAGGTTTAACGAAAGCGGACATCACAAGCTCCACTTTGGCACCTTGTTTTTTTATTTCGTTGGTAAAGGAATAAATTGCTAGGGTACCACGCTCTTTGTGACCTTTGCCTTTAACCTTGATAGGCATTTTTGCAGCTGTGATGAAAGAGAACATTACGAACATTAATATGACGTTCTTGTTGCTGCAATTCCTTCATTAGCGAAGACTTGGCATAGTGTGGTTGGCACATGAAACATCTCGTTTCATGTGACCTTGGCCTTTGATCATGGTACCAGTTTCGGTAGGTGTGACAAAAGTAGATATCACAAATATCAATATGATGCCCAGTTTGTTTTGTTTCTTAGATAAACGAAGGAATGCCTGGGTGCCCAAGTTTCGACCTTTCATTAACCCGCAGACGTCAGACTAGTGACTTAAAGAAAGGGGATTGCAGATGCGTGAATAACTCAACACATTTGACCTGGGGTGAAAGCTGTTGGAATTCGCTGTTCTGAGCTCGACGCTGATTTCGAATACGAACGCGACGCTAATTCCTTGGACATGGCTGAGGCCGAGTCCCAGCTTTCTGGCACGAAGCGCGAAGATACCGGTAGACCGGCCGGTGGTGACATCCTGCGCTGAGTGTTGGAGGGGCCGGGTTCCGGGTGACCAGGTGTCTCGATTCCCGATCTCGGTGGTCTCGTTGTTGACAGCAAATGTGCTCTGTTCGGAGGTGTCGGTATAACTCACCACACCGAACGAGCGAAGCCCGACGAATGAGGGCGTTCAAATCCTTACGCTGCAGATGTAAATGTTATTAATGCTTTCATTCCAAACATCGAGTTCTAAAGGATGTGTAAACTTTCGGGCCCCAGTTTGTACGGGCTACAGTTGCGCAAAATCAAATGTGTTTTTCTGCTGCAATACCCTTCCTTTGGTTGGAAAAATTGCATATCCGATATTTAGTGACCTGTACATTAAATTTGCGGCGTGCTGCTCCCACAGCTGATGTTGTACAACACTCCTGATATGTTCCCAATGAGACTGTTTTGCAGCGGGGTACGCCCGCGCGTGCTTTAGACAGTACCACCCAGCTGCATACGCCCCGGCCACCAGGGACATGGACTACCAGCCGCAGCTGTCGGTCGCCTCGTGGCCCCAAGGCGACTTCCTGGTCTTGCTGCTCAAGGGGAATCACTTCGTACCTGACGATGAGGACGTGGGCGTTGGCGATCAGGAACAGTGGGCAAAGCAGTTTGCTAAGTTGAACGTCTACTACCGTGATATCAGCAGTGCTTCCATCACCGAGAGCCCAGTCTACACGGTGCGTGCAGGCAGCGGCCATTGCTCGAATTTGGGGGTCATGATGCTGCATAATTGCTTCAATATTCGGTCACGTGGGTGGCAAGGATGTTGATGCTTTGCGCGTGCTACCGCACCCCGAAGTAGCTCCTCACTGTCTGGTTATTGTCCCGAGCTTCTCCAAAATCACGACAGGCTGCGGTGTGGTGGGATTTTCAAACGCAAAGCGATCGCACCGAAACTAAAATGAGAGAGAGAGAGAGAGAGAGAGAGAGAGAGAGAGAGAGAGAGAGAGAGAGAGAGAGAGAGAGAGAGAGAGAGAGAGAGAGACATGGGTGTGTCATAACCCAAACTCTCTGCTTGGAATTACTGGGATTTGAACCAGGGCTTTCCTGACTGCGAGTCAAGCGCTTTGCCAACTAAGCTAACCGGGAGGGTTGCATACGTATTCCGATTAGCGAAGTTGGTAGAGAGCTGCACTTTCAATAACAAATATCCTGGTTAGTAGCTCAGCATTTTCAGGAAGGAGTTCAGGCTGTGACGCATACATGGCTGATAGCCAGGCATCATCCAGTCATTCTCAAGACCCCATAACGCCTGGTGACGGCCGAGGAGGCAACCGGTTGTAACGCTATGCACATACTGACACACTAGACGAGACCGACTGCATAATCTTTCCATTCGTGAAAAACTCAAGATGCAGGGCACGCAAAGGTGGTTGGTACTATTCCGGCGTCCCAATATACTTTTCCCTTCTATAACTGGCATAATGATCACTATTCAATGCCCATCTGCTCAGCATCACTCCTAATGGTATGCCAGGACACCTCTGCCGCCCAAAGTCTGCGTGAAGCTCGGCCATTACCCGAGGGCTTTTCAATATACGCTTTCGTTCACGGCTTGTAGCCTGGCTTACCGGGCTGGCCTTCACGCGGGTCTCAGGCTAGCCAGCGGTCGCCGCCGGCTGCGGTTACCACCAGGGCTGCGGTGTTGTCCATATTTTAACCTCAGTTCCATCGAATCTCAATCTGTACGACAGGCATAGGTGGCGCTATCTAGCTGGTGCGGCCGGTACTTACTTGACCGGCCGCCACAATATCAGCTTGTTACGCTCTGGCTGACACCGCAAGCAGTGTGCATGTCGCGTGATACGGACTCACGTGCGGCTATGGCGAGTTGCTCTGTAGGGCCCTAGAGTAGAGCTGATGTAACACATACGCCCACGCCATCTGTTTGGAATCGGTCGAATTATTGAAAGCGTTACCCACAATGAGATCGAAAGAAGCTTAAGTGTCCTTTGGTGTATGATCCGTGGACAGGCTCTTGAAAGGACAGCCGCAGTTCACTGTAATTTCATCTGCTTTCAGTATTCAACCCTCATCAGTAGTCTAGGTGGCGCACTTTCCCTGTATCTGGGGATTGCGTTGATCCTGGTGATTGAAATACTGGAGTACTTCTTCTTCTTGGTGCTCAACACGCTCCTTTTCCTCTGCGGGCGTTATGAAGACAGCGAACAAAAGAACACCGAGTTTATGCCGCCCGCGAAATTAGTACATCCTGGTGAGTACCATCGTGTTGTTTGACATTTGAGTACATAAACACTAAATAAGCTAATGTATTGGAAGGTTGCAAAATGGGTCAACGTTATTTCATTGTCTCTGGTGCCTAACGTTGTAGTCATCTCGGCGGCGGCTTCACTCGTAGCTAAAAGTTATTGAAGGGAGTGTCACACATTTGTGTGAGGTGTTGAACTGAAATAGCCGTCTTGAAGATCATTCGGTGCAGTTCACAGCCCCGCCCGTTCTAAGACATAAACCCTTGTGGCTTCTGCGTTACACGCTCGCGAAGATGTGCAGAGTTTTTCGAGGAGACTACTTCAAGGCATCCATGACGCTATAATAACGTATTCAAATCCTGACATCCCATTGGCTCTGCGGTGCTCAAGGCCAAGACAAAATATAACTGTCGAATCGTTCATATCTGGCGCTGTTGAGCACGATTTCCAGATAAATCGGCCGCTTATGGGCTATCAGTCGGTCGTGTGCATGGTACGAGGATGTAATCAGGCGGTGCCATGCTGAGGAGCACATTCGCTTAGCAGAGAAATTGCCTGGTGTAGAGCAGCCTTTTCCACGTAAAAGTATACCAATACTTATACATGGGCTTATTTAATCGCATTTGATACTTGCTTCAATATCTTTGGATGTGGAACGTACCCTTTAATAACGCACTCGGAAAACAACATGCTTTCGATATGTCTATTTCTATGTTCCTTGTTTTCACTTATAGGTGAAAATCAGATATCAAATCAGATCATCTTGAAATAATAGCCAACAGACAACGGCCGATGGCCCCGACAGACAGCCCTTTCACGTTGCTGTAAACCACCGCGAAGTTTTCAGCGATCAATTAATTCATGTTGAAAATCCACCTCTTGTACAAAAAGGTCACCTAGGTCATGTGGTAGTCGATAGTTGCTATGCTTCATGTATGGTGTAAGCATCCCATGATTTCAGCTGAGCACCCTTCTCTCCTGTCGCAGCGGTCGGGACAGCAAAGCGGAAGATTATAGTCACCAACAAGATCAGGTGTTGCAGTCACTGCTTGTCTCACGCTCGGCGCGGTCCCAGCGACACGGGCCAGGATAAGTTTAAACAGCTTCAACATTGAGAACAAGTTAATGAAGCTACAGAACGAGTTAAAATTAATGGCATTAAAATGAAAGCGAAGTGTTGTCTTAACTGTCGGTGGTTATGGTTCGTGCAAAAGACACCAGGCCGCCCAGTTGCGTGTTGTTTATACGATTACGTTTATGTGTATATCTATATATATATATATATATATATATATATATATATATATATATATGTTTACATATATATATATATATATAGATGTATATATATGTTTACATATATATATATATATATATAAACATAAACATATATTTTACCAAACATCTTGTCTGGAACGGAACATGCAAGCGAACTCCTTGGCCATCATTTAAATATGACCGTTGCCATGAGTATGCATGCCATTTCTTCCTTGGGAGCAAATGTTTTGAAGTTTGGATGGTACAATGTACATTTTTACGGTCGCACTTAATTTGATTATACCTGTTTATTTTCACGCAATCTTGTCTTCATCGCTTGTATTTTGTACATGTCTACGTTTGAAAATGGAATACGTAATGATTCCGAAGGATCAGGCAACTAATGGGTTCTTAACACCGGTGTGTTTCTCAGTGATAAACAGAAAATTGTTGCGGGAAAACTAGAATGCAGGAAAGCTTACCAAATGTATCCAGGTCAACTTTTTGATAGCACTCTGATAAGAGAATGTGTCGTCTACATTCACTAAACAAAAGAGGTATATATATATATATATATATATATATATATATCATAATATATATATGACTATATAGATATATCTTATATACTATCTACCTATATCTATATATCTCATTCTCTCTCTCTCTCTCTCTGCATTCTCTTATATACTCTCTCTCTCTCTATCTCTCTCTTCTTCTCTCTCTCTCTCTCCTCTCTCTCTCATCTCTATCTCTATCCCCTGTGTGTGGGTGGTGGTGGTGTGTGTGTGTAAACTGGAGCATTTCGGGGGTAGGTTTTCTCTTATGCATTGTTTGCTGCACACCATAGCGCACTCAGCGTTTACGACTAGGGCTACGTATGGTGTGTTCGTTGTTTTCGATGTGTCTATGCATAATATTGTTGAAGCTCCTGCATTTTTGAACGTTTCAGTCAGCTCGATAATCATTTTCAAGAAAGTCATTACACTTTAAACATGCACCTACGCACAGTTTAAACCGAAAAGTTCGCTCTAATCGTATCTCTACGCAACACACGCTTGAGAAACTGGAAAAATTATGAATTGCATGCTGCATGTTCTAATCCTAGAGCTAATATCTGCATGACTGGAAGCCTTCACACTTTCAATATACGAAGCGAAAGTTTACTAGTCCGGTGCATTTGCATCACGGGGATCTGTCTATCAGTCGCGAGTCGTACAGTGGTAGCTGCCCGAGTTGTTTGTTTTGTATGTTGGTGATTGATGCCATGCCTTTGATGTCATGCCTCTGATGTACAATATTTCAAGTGTGGTGAGGCACCTATGGTCTGTGGTATGCGCTAGCGTGGTGGTGTTCATGACTAACGCATTTCTGGTGAGTGTGGTGGCGTAGTGTGTGCGCATGTGCTTTCGGTACGTCTTCCTGCAAGTGCATGGCTAAGCGTCGACTGAGATCTGTTGTAGTTAGGCCGAAAAAGTTAAAGATGTGTGATATGGCACGAAACCCAAACACATCTTTCCCGGTGATCAACAAAACCTTAACCAAACTCGAAATAAGCTGAGACAGACCTATGAAGTTTCCTGTATCGGATGCAGTGCCAAGAATTTTAAGACCCACAAAGTTAACTACATTGACCTGACTACAAGCCACCGCCGCGCCTAACCATGCACCTACGGAAGGGGACACCGAAAGCACATGCGCGTACACAACCCACCCCACTGACCAGAAGTGTGTTCGTCATGAGCACTACCATCTCTGCGAATGACACAAACCATGGACGATTCACCACATTTAAAGCATTATTCATCAGAGACATGACACCAGTCAACAACCTACAACAAACAACTCGCTTAACTTCTTCAGTACGACACGCGGCTGATAGAACAGACAGTCTCCCCGCAGTGCAAACTCACCGGACGAGGAACCTTTTAACTCGATATGATGAAAATGTGCAAACTTTCAGCATTACGGAATTGTGCAGATGTATATATATATATATATATATATATATATATATATATATATATACAGTATTTTAGAGTAGCAATGTGAACAAATCACACACATTATGAGCATGCCGTGGACAACTGCTCGGCTAATCGTTCGGAGCTAGTAGCGTGCAGTGTTGTGAATTGCTTTGTTGAATATCATCGCTAACAGCATGTTATGTTATTGATTTATTCTGTGGGGCTATGCTATTATCACTTTTACCAAGCCTTATTGCATTGGCTGTTGTTCAACGATAGGCGCATCGCTGGCATTAGGTTGTTTTTTTATTGAGCTACTCCAGCTTTGGTGAGCCATTGTTTGTCGCTGTACATCTTGACGATGTCGTTCGCCAGCTAATTTTGAAAGCTTGAGCCCATCCACCAGAACTCTAGCCCGAATATCTGGAATACTGGTCAAATATAAAAACGACCCCATGTAAACTTTAATATTCCCAGCTAGCACAACTTTCTGAACCTGCCAAACAGCAATATAAACAGCGCCAAAAGCAGAAAAAATGCAGCGAATTTGTTCGGCATCCATGGTGAAACGGTAAATATAACGGATCAGCTGTCCAGAGACTTGGGTTCGAATCCCTGCTGGATGGCCCCAAACTTTCCCTATTGCATGGCTAACCATAGCAAGCTGCAAATCAGCCAGGCAATTCTGGCTCATCAGGGCTGGAGTACCTGACTAAAAAACAGCCCCATGCAAACATTAGTTTTCACTACTTGAGGAATCCTCCGAGTGGGTATATTTGTGTTGCATGGTACACGCACATTGGTGTTGTTGCTGCACGTATGTTGGTGTTGCATGTTGCCTGCTTGCATGCTCTTGTCTTATGCTCTGATTTCAAGTGCTTCAATGGCTGACATGAAATAAAGAACTATGTCTCGCTTTGAGAATGGATAAATGGTCTATCCACAACGCTAAATTACGAAGAATATGCATGAAGATGACACCTGCATCTTGGCGAATCGCCTTAAACCCCGACATGCGATGTCAAGCATGATGTGCGCGAGATGGAAATACTTTACTGGAAGTTATCCAAAGCTGAAAACGTTGCACTCTTAAATGACCATTTTTAAGTGAACATATAAATAATATTTACATGTTCACTATATATGTATACATGCATATATATATATATATATATATATATATATATATATATATATATATATATATGTATGCATATATATACCTATATATATCTATAAACCTATATATACAAATATGTGTATATACATGCTCACTTTTTATATATATATACTCTTTGATCAAAGTGTGTGGGCGCATATTGATTCGTGCCTTATTTTATTGATTTGTTTTACCTTATTCATGCGGTTCATTTTCATGTGCTTCTGAACAAAAGTGCATCATATCTATCAATGGTGATTTCATGTAACTTTTAGTTCCAAAAAGCATAGGCATGTTTATGTACTGTTATAAACTGTGGTTTATTGTCATACACACCTACCTATGCGTGCGTATTTTTTATGTTAGAACAGGAATACTATGAAAATCCGTCCGGACATCCAGCAAAAGAGCAATATTTCGTAACTTTACACTCCTTTACAACTCCTAATTAGTCCCATCAACTTGCTGCTTGTTTGTCTGATACTCACCACAGAACGCTGTTTTATCATAAATTCCAGTGTATCGTACTACGCCATGTTTTGTGAATCCGACAAAAGATGAGCTTCGTAGTGTGGTCGAATCCGGCACAGGATGCAGTTAATCCCTAATATCTCGAACACTCGAAAGGACAATGTTTATGATGGAAAATGTTTATGTTTATGTTATTCAAAAAGCATGATGTTTGTGATGTTGATGATAAAGGGACAATGCTTTGAACGTGATATCAAGTGACTCGCTTTACTTTTCGTGACTGATTTTTGCACATGACCTCTGCGTGTCGACGAACAGATCACCGATATTTGTTGAGTGCAGTTTGTTGCGAAATAAACATAGAACAGTGGAAACGGAGCTAACACACGACACAACAAGAACCTCGTCCACACCAGCCGGACCTCGTTCACACCTTCTTCACCATGTTCCAGCCCCGGTACACCCCCACCGCTCCACCCCTGTCCCGTGCTGAGTCTGGAGCGTCGCAGATTCTGCGGCGCAGTGAAGGCCCGAAATAGTCGCCCGGGCCGACAGAGGCCAAAAGCTTCGCTCGTCGCCTGGCCAACGCCGACAGACGAGGGCCCGGCTGGCGGCGATCGCTGGGCGGCAACGGGCACGCGCCGCCGGACTACCGCCAGCTGCGGAACCTCCAACTGGCACCAGCCGCCCGTCAGTTTGTGTTCAGAGGCACTTAAAGGGTATGGTGGAGCGTGGTAGAGACGTTGTCACAGCCATTCCCGCCAGGGTGGGAGGCAGGCGACGTCATTTTGCCCCAGTAGCTGAGTGCGATGTAAAACATCAATGGCGACGACGACGTTGTCATGGCATCTGAAACTTTGAACTGGTGCCATCAATACGGTGTTTAAATGTTGGTGTAACGCATCAGCTCGCCGTTACAGAAGACTACACCGCATGGTTCAATGGGGGCATATCCACTAGAACTCCAAAGGGCGTGCCATCGAACAAAAGGAAAAGTGTGTGCTTGTGTTGCTCGTCATGCTCGTATCAAATCAGGGCATTTTTTCCACGCGGTATTTAAAATGCACCTCCAGCATGGCAATCATCCGCATACGCATGGCGTTTGCAATGCATACACCAATGTCGGGACATGATGCTGCAGTGGTGGACGTGCTGACGGCGAAAGTACGTCGAGTCCTGTGTCCGTGGAAGCATCCGCGGCACGTGACAGCTGCTTCGAATATACCTCAAATAAGCAGAGCTCTGCGAGCGTTATACCAAGCGTCAGTCGCATCGGACCAGCGAAACGTCCACACCTGAGTGCAGCATGAACTGGAGGTTTGAGAGATGACGCCTCGCATCGGCGAACTGTGGTGCGTTTTGAGCGAGGAAGACGGCCCCGTCCTGAGGCTGACACATGTGTCGACGCCCGGTGTTTGCCAAACGCGTGATGCGCGGTTTGATTCTTGCCAAGTTTGACGGCGACATTGACATTTGAGATCAAGGACGTCGGAGCTGCGAATGCCTCGCAGACAGCATTTCCGTTTCTGTCGAAGACAGACGCGAGCTTCCCCTAGCTTTTGAATCATTGTCAGGTTTTGAAAATACCCTGCCGTTCAAATAACGCAAGAGCGAGACCCGCTACCATTACCAGATCAGACGACTTTCCGACTTTGCACGTAATGCTGCGTTCCGCAAACTTTACCACACACATCGAGTACGGGTCGCGAGCCTCTACAGACTCGACGAGTCCGCCGGCGGCGACGATGTCGTCCGTAGCTGGCGGACCCGACCACACACGTCCGCCTTCGTCTGGCGCGTGCGCCCCGCCAGCAATGCGACCTCGAAACTGCTATCTTGACCGGCGCGAGGCCTCGCTCCACGGCCGGAGACGCCGTGCCAGCATCACCGCTGTGCTGTCAGTGCGACGGCGCGCCTCTCACGCCAAGTGCGTTGACGCCACCGTCTACCGGCGGCTGTTCGAGACCAGCATACCCGAGGCGGTGCAACGCGAGAGCCGGCCGCGGCGGGTCACGCGGTCGTGGGGGGCGTGGCAGGGTTCATCGGTCGGCCTGACCTGGAGCGCGGTCTGGTGATCTTGGACGGCGGTGGACGGGGCGGGTCAACAGAGCCAGGCGAGATATAAATCGTCGGCAGTAGCGCGGTGAGCCACCTGTCCGGCACGCGGGGTGGTGGCCCAGCTGGAATTGCAAGATGTAAAAATACCACGGCGATTATTTGCTGGGAACGACAAAGAAGCCCCAGAATTGCTTTGCTAAGATTAGAGGATTCGATGGCATTCCAATTTTTGTTAAGTTAATACATTTTCCGACGTCTAATTTTTAAATTGGATGGACAGGGGCAAGCATCTTTGGGATTTGTTCGACAGGTATTTGGACAGACATTCTGTCCTATTGAAAATTGGTATGCACTTCAGCTCATTTAATATTGTTAGCTCACAAATCAGCTTGATTCTGGAACATAAACCAACTGTTGTATAGTACACCAGAGCACACAACTTTTGAAACATAAGATAGAAACCCTCAAGAAACCCTGTGGCATACATTGCCAGTTTCCTCAGACTAACATATTAAAATGGGAACGCCAGCGGCAATTTTCCCAACATTCGCAGCTTGTACCGGTTTTAGATTGTTGTTTTACGGCTGCTGCTTTTGAGACCAAAGGCCAATTTTGTCAACTTGGAAATTACAAGTTCTGGCCACTTTTTAGACGGCCAGCTGGTCTGTCCGTGGACAATGGATTGAACTTTTGGCAAGAGCTTCCAGGAAACGGCACCTCTGGTCCAGACCTGCGAGATGGTGGATGAGGTGCTAAGTACACAAAGTGTAGTAAAAACCTATATGTCAACCTTGAGTTTTTAGTTTCATGGATCTATTTAATATAGTTCACGTGGATGGCTTCGTGTTCAGAGAAACGATAAGTAGATCTGGATTGCGTGTGTCCTCAATGCGTCACCTATCAATTTAGCTCATCAAATTTTGCCTCTGGTATCCTGCGGGCCAGACAAGCCGGCAGGATTTTACGTGCCCTACAGTGCTACGCTAGGACCGCCCTTGGACAGAATGACCTCTTTGGCCGGATTGCAACAACCTTTCAAGTAAGTTAGGCCAAAAAGGCGCCCGCCTTGTAACTCGCATCTATAGCGCCGCTGGAATACGAGTCCAGCACGTGTTACCATCTTGACCACGGAGTGGAGCTCGTCGCCTGGAAGTCTTAGTTTACCGCCTGGCCTTTTGAACTTGCACAATTTTGCAATTGTATATCTTTCTTTGCCCAGCCCTTGTGACGGATGCGCGCACGCGCTGCGCTGTTTGCCCGGAGTTATGTTTTCGGGCTCTGATCTCTCAGCGCCAATAGTAGAGAGCATTTTAGGCACCATAAGACGTTATATTTAGCCGCCATGTCGACCGATTCACAAACAGTACGCAAAAACTCCACCTTGAAAAAATACTCGCCGGTTGATCGGACGGGATGGTCTTGATGCGTCATTATCAGGCCACCAGTGTGACAGACCAACGCTTGACCGACGGCTGCTGTCGTAATCATCATCACGTTTTGAGGGCAAGATGGTAAGATGTCCTTGAAATACTCCTATTCTAGGATCATTTATGGTGTCCGATGTCTTCAGAACGTCAGGTGATGCATGATTTGATATTGCAGCGCGAGGTACCAATGTAGGCCATGCCCTTCTTAAACTTAGGGACAAATATGTGAGAACATCACAAAAAGGCCAAAACACGAGCACGTAGCAAGATTTTCCTCCGGAAACAATGTTGGCGAGTGCTGCCATCTTTCGACAAGTTCGAAGTACTACGGGCATGTAGCAATTTCAAGAGGTTTGGCGGCACCTTAAGGCGAAACGCAATCCAGAACGCTATCAACCAATGACTTATTGAACAGCATACTTCCTAAATAGATAAATTGTGTTGTGCAGAACAGGCTTTTTCACTTTATTAGGCATCAATAGTTACAGGTCAGTTGATTTCATTATATCTGATGTTTCCTTCAATACCTTCAAATGTGGAAGACTTCATGGCATGAAACTCTTGCCCTAGAAGATGAGGGTGGTGTCGCCTTGATAGATACCAAATGTGCCGTGGGTCATCACTTGTTTGTTCAATGCAGAATACTATTGTTGATCAGACCGGATGTGATACCATGGTATCTTCACTGATTGAAATAGCAAGTTGCAAGCGTGATAGACAAGCGCGAGCGCAGACATCACCAGTAATACATTAGTCAGCAATAATAAGCGTTTTCGCACTACGACTTTCCTGTCTGGTTTGTCCTCCATTGTGGCATCCGATACTGCTGCTGCCTTAGCTGATCTTCAGTGGATGTCGGCATACCTGAGCGCCTACGCTGCCCTTCCAGCGGCATCGCCGGAGAGGATGACACCTTGTCACACTTCTGCTCAGTCATGACGCCTTTCCACTCGTTGCGCGAAGACATTAGATGATGGCTTTCTGCCCTTCAAGAGTGAGAGTTTTCAGGGTGGTGTTCAACAGAAGTCCGTTTCAGGGGCTCCCAATTATACTCACCGACATCATAACCTGCCTAACTATGTAAGCGGCAATGCAGCAGTAATTGATTAGGCAGGCTGATCGCTTAAATTTCTGAAAGCCGGTGTTTGATAAATTTGTTTGGTTAATGAAAAACATCATGGCAACACGGCTTACGGAATGTACTTCGCATACGGCTCTGAAATGATCCCGTGTAAAATACCAAGTGCGACGTTCTGTGAAAAGTAAAACTGCTACAACCCACATTGTCAGCATAAATGCAAATTTCTTCAGCTAGAGCAGCACACATGGGCATCGTGCAATACGCGAAACAATATTGTCTGTGTCCACACCCGAGTGTACGTAAGGTCTGAGGTGACCGTTGGGCCCCGTTCGGAAAAAAGATCGATCTCATCCGAACTTCTTGTCCTCCATTTAAAGCAAATACTCTCCTTGAGGTCAGGTATTTTGTCCATGCTGGTGGGCTGCTCCTTGTCCTAAATTAAGTCTGCGCTGCATTTTCAGATGCGGTTCGTTTGACTGCCACTGAATATTTGCTTTGCGTGCTTATGAAAGGGCGGCGGCTTGCTTGCATCTTCTGCCGTTAACCTTGCAAGTCTAGCTCACGCGGGTGTCTTGCGGCCGCTCCGGCCCCAAAAGTCGTGAACGACAGAGAATATAAAAACTATGCCACGTCCAAACAAACGTGATGAATGGTCAGCTAATTGGCTTTGGAATGATGCCAGTGTGCTTGATTACATGAACTGGATTTTGTCATTTGATGTTTGCAATAATCCTCTGGATCTTACATTGCTGCAGGCATGTAAGACCAGGCATCCAGACGGGCATTGTGCATGATGCAATATTCGAGGTGGCATGAGCACTACGTGACTGCTGAGGTGGTATGAGGATAAGGTAATGCTCGAGATAGTATGAGTAGGGACGAAACAAGAATTTCGCCGAGCGAGGGGCCACGCTGCATTGAAGAACCCCCTGGAACTTTGTGCCCGCTCCTGCCCTTACAAAGAAGTCTACAAATTTCAACCAATTTATTTTCGGATTTTTATTTTTAATCAGGTAAAATTTCTTCCGCAGGAATGAGCCGATGGATTCAGCCTAATCTAATTAAGAGGTAATTTTCTTTTATTTTGTCTGTTGAGCTCCAAAATTTAGGGACCGTTTGTGGTGCCCCTAAACTAAGGTACGTCTCGGAAATAAAAGTTACGTGGACCCGAAATCAGGATCCCTGTGCTCCTACACCACCAGATTTTGATGCTCCTTTAGCCTTAGGAAGGGGGGGGGGCAATGGTCCCGTGCCCCCTCCCCCCCCCCCTCCAGAACCATCACTGAGAATAAGCATTGTGTAATACTCGAGATGGTATGGGGCATTATCGTTAGTTATTGGGTTTTAGGGGCTCGTCAGCTGCAGTGGTTGTTTGCACCCTGGGCGTTATGCAATGCTCGAGGTGGTGTGACATCGTGTAGTGCTCGAAGTGGTACGGCATCGTGTAATGCTCGAGGTGGTATGACATCGTGTAGTGCTCGAAGTGGTATGACATCGAGTAATGCTCGAGGTGGTATGACAACGTGTAGTGCTCGAGGTGGTATGACATCGTGTAGTGCTCGAAGTGGTATGACATCGTGTAATGCTCGAAGTGGTATGACATCGTGTAGTGCTCGAGGTGGTATGACATCGTGTAGTGCTCGAAGTGGTATGACATCGTGTAATGCTCGAGGTGGTATGACATCGTGTAGTGCTCGATGTGGTATGACATCGTGTAATGCTCGAGGTGGTATGACATCGTGTAATGCTCGAAGTGGTATGACATCGTGTAGTGCTCGAAGTGGTATGACATAGTGTAATGCTCGAAGTGGTATGACATCGTGTAATGCTCGAAGTGGTATGACATCGTGTAGTGCTCGAGGTGGTGTGACATCGTGTAGTGCTCGAAGTGGTACGGCATCGTGTAATGCTCGAGGTGGTATGACATCGTGTAGTGCTCGAGGTGGTATGACATCGAGTAATGCTCGAGGTGGTATGACAACGTGTAGTGCTCGAGGTGGTATGACATCGTGTAGTGCTCGAAGTGGTATGACATCGTGTAGTGCTCGAGGTGGTATGACATCGTGTAGTGCTCGAAGTGGTATGACATCGTGTAATGCTCGAGGTGGTATGACATCGTGTAGTGCTCGATGTGGTATGACATCGTGTAATGCTCGAGGTGGTATGACATCGTGTAATGCTCGAAGTGGTATGACATCGTGTAGTGCTCGAAGTGGTATGACATAGTGTAATGCTCGAAGTGGTATGACATCGTGTAGTGCCCGAGGTGGTATGACATCGTGTAATGCTCGAGGTGGTATGAGCGCTATGTAATGCTCGAGGTGGAATGGGCGTTATCTACATAATGCTCGAGTTGGTGAGAGCCGACGCACAAAGGTGGTGAGAGTTTGTGAGAGCCGACGCACAGAGGTGATGAGAGTTGGTGAGAGACGACGCACAGAGCTGGTGAGGGTTTGTGAGAGCCGACGCACAGAGCCGTAACAACGTGGTTCCTCCGGGACTTCTTTGAGAAGAGCCGGGACGTGCCCTCGGGATATGGCGCTGACTAGTCTGGCATGCCTAGGGTGTGCTGTCCCAGAAGACCCATGTGTAAGTGAACCGCAAGGCCGGCGCGTGGAGCGAAAAGTGAGGCCCAGCGCACCGTGGAAGGGTTCTGCAGGATCACCATTCCAGCAGCCCCACACAGTTTGGGGCACATTTGATCAGTTCAATGTCAAATGCAAGGTCAGGCCAAATGCCACTACGTGCAAAATTTATTTATGTGCATTGACTGGCATAGTCCAAATTATTCAGAGTCGGAGTAGGCAGAAATAGCAAGTGGTTAGAGTTCATGGAGGCGAGTGGGATGTCTCACGCAGTTTGGAAACCAAGTTAGACAGCAGTAAGTTTCAGCTAATGGCGAAAGTTTACGAACAATGCAGGGAAGGAAATAGAGCGTTTATACGTTCATTCCGTGTGACCTCATACTGACTTCCTGAAATGTTGGGATGCATTTGCACGCTTAGTAGCTAAGTTCCGCCCATGCCGTCCATCTACAAAAGAAAAAATTGAGAAGTGGTTGGTTCATTTTTATTGTCTCAACCACTTCTAACGGATACATCGGAACGATTTTGTTATGCAAGACTTTGTTTATGAGATAACAGTAACTTTCACCCCATGTTTCACCCCACAGCATTGGCATGTTCTGGAAGTTAAGAGCGACAACCGTCACGTATACAGATACAAATTTCCAATGTCTCTTGAAATCAAAATCCTCATGTTCAGCACATGAGTGACACTGCATCGGCTTGAGATTGGCAAGAACGCATAGTTCATTGGGACTATGCTCAGGCTATACCCGCTTACCACTATGCATCTCAGAAGCTCTTGATGCATGCTTCATCTATAAACTGCCTCCATGTTATGAGACTTCAATGCAATCGAGATTGAGCGCATCCCTCCAAGAGCTGCTTTGCCTTCACCGGGATATAAGCCGTGAGTTAAGTGTGGTGTACGGATGTGGATGCCTGTGAGACGGGAGTATATTCCAGCCACATTAAATCAAATACATTACAGCTGAGAACAACGCTCCGTTGAAATTTCGTCCAAACCCTTTGACTGGATAGCCTCCTGAGAGCAGCGCCCTCGCTGACCAGGGCTGTGTGCGCCGTGGTCACACCGCCTGATCGTGAGCATAGTCCGAGGTAAAAAGCAGGCACATTAAGCGATTCGAACTCATCCGGCCACGATCGGGTGAATCGGAAGGCAGACGCTTTAACCGATTGCATTATCGGGATGGATATCAGCGTCGGCTTGACCCACGAGTCATTCGCTCTTTCATGTAATGCTGGCTGGCCGCCTCTTAACTCTTCGTGACGCACAATGTGAGCGGTTTCTTTTGCAGTCCGCATAGCTAAAAAGACCGGTGGCGAAATTGCCCGATGCTCCGGGGGATGCATGCCCTCGGAGCACCTTCGACGGGCCGCACTGGCAATGCTATGAGCTTAAAGCTACCCGTGCAAACCATTTGAAACAAACCGGCTTCAAAACATATCAGGTGTCGTCCGCAGTCCCTGCGGAAGAAACCTACTCTCTCTCTCTCTCTCTCTCTCTCTCTCTCTCTCTCTCTCTCTCTCTCTCTCTCTCTCTCTCTCTCTCTCTCTCTCTCTCTCTCTCTCTCTCTCTCTCTCTCTCTCTCAGCTGAAGATTCAGCTCGAGACGCCTCCTGACCTCTCTGGCCCCTCTCGGGGTGTAGTGACGAAGTGACCTCTCGGGATGCTCGGGATGGAGTGATCGATACCTCTCGGTGCGAGGTGTTGAACGCCCGATCACACGGTCCCAGGCTCGGGCTTTGGCTCTGTACCAGGCTCAGGTCACAACGGCATCAGGCTCAGGCTTTGTTTTGCATTCCGCTCCCGGCTCTGGGTCTGAGCTAGGGACGCAGCTTTTTTTTCAAACATCAGCCCGCAGCCCAGTCCGCCCCGCCCAGCTCGTGATCTAGGCCGATATGCCACGATGCTGATCCGTCAATAACCCGCAAGTACTAATTCATTGCAGTGCATATTTTATTATTTCACCTAAACTGTATACCCATACATAAAATGTGTATAAAATGGGATGTTAGTGTAATATAATACATAGCATTGTTTGGATAACGCCACTGGCGTTGCTCAGAGAGCAGCAATCAAATTATCTGCACAATGGAATTTATAATGCACTAAAGTAGATCTTAAACAATGTGATAGAAGTTTTCAACTATGAATGAAAAGTAAGAGGATGGAAATCAAATTTATCTCCCACCACAATGCTCCAAAGATTCACTCCTCCACCTTATCTCAAAAGACAAACCATTTCTTCTAAAATTACATGCATCAACTAATAGCTTTACACCAGCAGGGTAAAAATGCTGAATGTTTAAGTCATAGAAGGTATCAGTTCATTACAATGTACCTAAACTCAATCAACATTCAACCGCGCCACAATTGCCACAGTATCATGTTGTTCATTGACATCTTGGGTCAAATTATCAGAAAATGTGACAGAAAGCCTTTTTTATCCGTCACAACTAAAACGTCAACTTTTGAACTGGGTAAACGGAAAGTTGGATGAAGTTGGGATGGGCATCTAGTGGGCGATGCCAGAGGAATTCACAATAGCTTTGGTTAACATTGGATTGGGTACATGAAACCTTATTCACGAAACCTTACACCTTGCACTCTGTCCAACGGTCGTAATCGCTTGGGGTTGGTGGACAGCGCCAAATGTAGAGTCAGAGCATCTGTGCCGTTTTCTTGCCACAAATGATGTAAACCCGACATAATAACTTGTGTCGCACATGCAAGAACTCCGCCTATCATATTTGATCCATGCTCGTACATCGATATGTCGATACATGGAGTACATCGGTACTTTTTGTCCCACTTTCTCGATAAGAGCTATCGATAAGCACCTCGGACACCATGTCGTGCTCGGCACATGTTTGCCAGTTTGGGCTCTCGCATCTTTACAGCCAACCCCGGTAGGACTCCAAGGATGACCACCGGACCGAGATCGGCTACATCAGACTCCGACCTGTTTGACCATGAGAGGCATGCGCAGCTACGGCAACGTGTCCCCCCACGCACCGCGCGCCACGGCAGCTCCCTTCGTAGTTGCAGTGTTGCACACCTGCGTGCTGCACACCAGAGTACTGTACACCTGAGTGATGCACACCTGAGTGCTGCGTACCTGAGTGCTGCACACCTGAGCGCTGCACACCATAGTGCTGCACACTTGAGTGCTGCACACCTGAGTGCTGCACGCCAGGGTGTTATACACCTGAGCGCTGCACACCAGAGTGCTGCACACCCGAATGCTGCACACCTGGGCGCTGCGGTGCCAGGAGCCGGGGCTTCACATCCTAGAAGCTGCGCTCGTTGTTTGTTTCGCCCGCCATCTGAGCTGGCGAAGTTGGCCGGCAGACTGTGATGTATCAAGTCACCCAGGCGGCCGTCTCATAGTCGCGGGATATATGACGGAAGTATCCTCACGTGTCCGACTTGGCAAGTCAGAGGCAAACACTTTTAGAACTGCACGTGACCATTCGGGTCGGTGAAGCATTTCACAACAAGCGTGGCTTTATATATTCATTGATACCCAACCATTCCTGTAGAGCGGTTTGCATTTTAAGGAATGCCTTTCAATGGTAAGAGATAATCTGTGGTCTAGCAGACACCAGGACAAAGACAAAGCACTGATACAATTTCTCTTTAAAGCAACGTGCATGACTGGCTTAACAACCATAGTTACATTTCTTTACTGAGACTGTCTCAGTTGCGTGCTGTATATCAATCTATCTATCTATGTATTTATATACATAAATATACATATATATGCATACATATATACGCATCCATACATATATACATATATATATATATATATATATATATATATATATATATATATATATTATACTATCATATGCCCGACACTTGCCAACTTGGGCAGGCACATACATCGGACATGTACATATACATATATACTGCAGTGAAAAGGGGAACACGGGAACTTGCAAGCGCCATGGCCTACCACGGAGTACGTCAACTCCCTGGCTGGTCAGGAACTTTGCAAATACTCAACGTAGTTTGCAAACTACTTAGGGAAATCGTAACAACCCTAGGTTATATGATTCCCTTGCACTACAATGGTGATTACCAGTGGCGCTTTCAAGGCACGCACCTACTCCCCCTGATAGAACATGTTTACTTGCATTAGTAGGCATTCGAATAAATGTTGGCATTGGAAAGAAAACACCTACAGACAGACACATAAAAACGGACAGACACACCATGTGACTTTGCAATCCATGCACACAACATCGTCATAGCGGTGCATACGTTAAAAAGTCTCGTGGCTTTGCCTGCTGCAAGCAAACTATTCGCTACCAATTATTCAAGCGACACATCAAGTCATGCACCGTCCAACTGTTTGTTGTCACCAGCTAGGTTTTTGTTGCATCGTCATTAAGTCTGGCGGACGCTGTATCATTTTTGATGCAACACAGCTCCATCTGGTACTGAACTGCCAGGCGTGAGCTCTGATCCCGGAAATCCATCCATTCAAATGGTTTGGATCAAATCTTAAAAAACCAAATAAGTTAACTTGCACTTAAGCTAATCAACATTTATGCCCCTCTTGAGACCATATGATGCATGTTGTGTTGATTCGTTGCAGTCGTACAGTATGACTACTATGCTGCTTAAATAAATGAATTTTGATATATGATTGCAAAAATTAACAATTACAACTCATTGTGAATGTCAATGCATTGCAACTGTCAAAACAAACTGCAGTTCAACACAAAGTGAACTGCGTACATCCTTTGAGAAACACAAAGCGAGGGGGGGGGGGGGTGAAGTAATGCATCGCTTTTCCGCTTGAATTCGTTGCACTGCATGCATCATTCATTGCATTGCGTCATCGCAACTTGTTGCATTGCATCATTTACGGGCATCACCAGTGGAGGGGAAGGGGACGAAGTCTGGACTAGAGGTGCCGATTGTATTTCAAATTTTGTAATTCCAAACGTTTCCAGAGTTGAAGTTGTAAATTGGACGGACGAGAACAGAAATCTTTGGAACTTTTTTAACCGATAGAATTGTGTCGTGTTGCAAATTGGCACGCATCTCAACTTATTTAATGTAGGTGCACATTACTTGCCTAAGATAATTTGCTTTCCATTTAATCGATTCGAGTAAGGGAATGCAGCGACGTGAGTGGTGACTGGGGTTATTGGTGAAGGTAATGGTCATATGATAAATGAATGGAAACTTTGGGACAACTTGATTTTTCGGATACCTTTGGACGAAGGACTGGTCCATCCTTGAACTTTGAACGGAACACAGGGCTCTTAGACACAAGTGAGGTGACACGAGATCGACCTTTATCTCAGTATCATTTTTCGTTGTTCAACGCCTGGGTAGTCACTGGCGTCGCCCTGCCGCTGCGTGCAGGAGCCATCGAAGCGCATCATCCCCACGGCCTTGACCATATTCACTATATAATCATATTCATCATTATCATCATTATCCGCCATGACGTTCGAAAACATTGCTGACCAGCCGATATCAGCGCTCACTATTTCAGCGAAGCCAGTCACAAAAGTTGCTCCCTGCGTCCGCCATCGGCAGAGCGGTTCTGGATCGGGCCGTGGTCCGAATCAGCGCATGACGTCCAGCGTGTCCGCCTATTCCGCCTGATGCTCCCGGCACTTTCGTTACTCATCTTTCAACTCCTTGCAAGTGTCATGGAAAACTGTTTGACGCCTGCGGGGCTTTCACAGCAGCGGTGATGTCCTGATCTAACACTTCTCGCACCAGGGATGGCTCGTTTGTATCCCTCCAATTAGATGGTTGGATGGGCATGTCGGTATTTCGACAATTCTACCCCCCCCCCAAATGTGGGTTTTTGGATGACGATATACGGCCAAATAAATTGCAATCTGATAGCTCATGCAAAATACAAATCAGGGACGAAAACTTATTTCGCGTTTTTTACCCGCTTGTGTTTGCTTGCATGTGGATTTTTTCAACGACAAAAGTTGCTAATTTGCACGCACATTAATTCAGGCAAAAATAAAGCTGTTTTCCAATTACCTTAGGGAACTTGTAAACTCATTAGGGAGTTTGGAAACTCTCTGACCACCCAGGAAGTTTGCAAATTCCCTAGTTAGTTTGCAAATCTAGGATTTTTATTCTCGCTGTAACAGATATATCATCAAAGAAGGCAGCTAAGAGATGGCCAGCTGATTAGCCGTCACAGCACCAGGCGCTGGCCCACCAGCGGCTCAGACGTGAGGTGCTGATCATTGCTGCCGTGTGCTGCCCTCATTAACAGCCGAGATTCCTTCCCGCTGCAGAACCGGCTTTGGCAGGGCAGTTGATGCGAATGCAGGGCAGTTAATTAAAAACACTGCCATACACTGGGCTATCATCCACGTGCGACCTTGTGACTTGACGCTTGACTGGCCTCACCAGGGGCGGCGCGTGTCGATGAGCCGGCGGCTCTTCTGATTACGTTTGGGGTGGTGGTGTCAGATTTGACCAAGCTCAAAGTGGTGTCCGAACTGATACCGATTTGTGTACAGATATTTTAACTGGGGCTGAGGGATTTGATTTCGAGTTGAGAACTTCAACAATTCCTTAAAAAGCTCAACAACTAGTCACTGCATGTTTTCTATTCATATATTTGGCAAGAGCATCTCTTCGAATATTTTACTGCATTTGAATTGCATTGCATGCATTTTGTATGGGAATGACATGCAATGGTCAAGATGCATCGAAATCTTAACTGCTCTCTTGCTAATGTATGCACATCGGAGTCCTCGGCAGGATTGTCTAGAGGTTAAATTGCTCATGAAATGTTCTTCGTAACGGTTGTTCAATATAATAAGGTGTCCTGTACTACAGTGGTGGACACAGGAAGTTTACTGAGTTTCAGTAATAATTACTGGCATTGTCTCACATTGCTCAGATATTGCTGTAAAATATGAGTTTCCCGTTCTGGGAAATTTCTTCCACCATTAGTGACTGTTGGGTGCGATACAGTACTGAGATTTTAGAGATCGTCTGTTTATGTGCACAATTCTCGAAAATGTATGGCACTTCAAAGCACAACTGAAGATGTGGTTTGTGTGCAGTGTAGCTGTAGTAATTTAGCTCGCCCGCCCTGTTTGCTCTCCCCCCCCCCCCTCCCCCTGCAAAATATTTACTGAGGGGAGACAGTGCCCGACCGACAAGCCGAATTTGTTTATAACAGCCACGAGCGAACAAAGTTCTGAGCTCCGATGACATCACCAGTGTCGGGTGACCGGCAGTAATGCTGGCGACTCCCTCGACCCCATGCTGGCGGGCGCGACTACTTCACAGGCCGTGGAGAGCGCCTGTCGCAGCTGAACCCTGGCCTGCCGCGCTCCCCTCCAAGCTGCGCCTCATGTTGGAAGATGGGCGCGTTATGGTGCAATGTGTGAACGGCGTGGAGCGGTGCAGTTCGTGTGGTGTTTGGAGGCCCAGAGAGCCGTCGGCAAGGTGGCCGGAGCCGTTGGCAGTGCGGTCAGAGTCGTCGGCAAGGCGGTCAGGGCCGTCAGCAAGGTAGGCGTTAAGCGGTACCTTCATCTTCTGCTTCCCCGTCGCGTTATTTGGTACAATGAGTGCTTGGGTGTCATGCCTTTTTATTTCAGAACGGAACCTTCACAGAGTCGAGCTCTCAAAGACTGCCACAATCCACCCTACGTTAGCGATTAGTGAGCCTAGCTAACCCACACCGTAACTCGGTATGTCATGAATAAATAATGCCACTAATGGTTACTAACCCCTCTCAGCACAGCAGCGCAGCCCATCCATCTGTCACAGCCATGGCATGGAGTCCATGAGAGAGAGGGAAACCATTTTGCAACAAAAAGGCACCTAAAATTGGGCAAAGGCCATCCACATTCTTGCCTTGTCGGCACAAAACGCAACTTACACAATTCGATATATTGCACCCAAGCAGCGACAGTGTCGGTTCGCCCGGATACTGGACCGACGCTTGGGCAAGAACGACTTGCCGGGCCTATTCATGGCACAACACAAAATCATTCTGAGCAGATCTGGTATGTGGCATCAGATCCATACGTCAACTGTTCGTACTTCCGGCCCGCTCGGCACGCTCGGACAAAACTGTCTCGCCACGAATACGTCCTGACCGTTGTCCATGACACGCATGAACAAACTGACGGCAACAGCCACATAAATGTACATTTCAACAAGTCAACCTTCTACAAAACACCGCTTACCCAGACAGGGGTCTTACCGCAGGGGCGCTGTATTTAGCGCAGCGCAAGCAGCCAGGCTTACCCTACACCCCATGTACAACACGACGACCTCCTACTCTGGCAAGACATTTGCAATATACAATATACACGCATCGCTGACGTCATGTATGGAGTTTACCTGCGACTCTTGGCAAACGCCACGATACGCAGCTATTCGGAGGGACAGTACCACACCTCGAGCAGCAAAAAGTATGAGTGGACGTGACAGTGGCGGGGTTCCGTTGCCGTAAGCTGGCACGGCCGCCAGACACCTACGTGCGGCGCGCGCCCCACGCGTTCCTCCCTCGGAACTGCCCGGCCGGCGCGTCGCCACCGTGGCTGGACGTGAGCCTCACAGCACATGACGCCGCTCCCGCGCCGGTTACGTATTGCACGACGGATCCACCAGATCTGTGTAGAGGGCCGCGCCCGGCCGGCGCGAGCTCCCGTCGCGCCGCCGCCGCGGGGGTGGCGCGAGACCGGTGCGTCTCGCGCTCGCGCCGCCTCGATCTCCCCTCATGAGCTCGTGCTGGCAGGACTCGCCAGCATCCAGCGAGGGCAGCACTGGTCAGCGGCGCGGCCCGGCGTCCTCCGCGGTCCTGCGCGGTCCCTCTGCGGTTCTTTGCCTTCCTCACCGTCCGCCAGGGGCGCGCAGGCTTCTCGAGTCTCCCAGAGCGGCCCGAGCCAAGCGTCACCAGTACGGGCCGCCGCCGAACTCGTCGCTCCAGCTGGAGAAGGACGACCAGTTGTCGACCTGCGCCCGGTAGATGTCGCGCACCGTGCCCGCCGCCGGCGCCGGCTTCTGCCGGCTCACGCTGAAGTTGTGGCCGTTGTTGTTGTCCCAGAACTCGCCGGCCGGGCCGCGGAAGCACACGCAGAAGGTGACGCGCGAGCCGCGCGCCGGCAGCGGCAGGGTGAAGGCGAAGCGGTCGTAGAGCGCGGCGCCACCGCCGGCCGCCGGCACGTACGTCGCCTCGACATCGCGGCTCGTCCGCCAGCCGTCTTCGCTGACACGCACCAGCACCTGCTTCTCAAAGTGCAGGTTCTTGACCTTGATGCTGCCGGCCACGCGGTCCTCCAGCTCCTTGTAGACGGCGTGCTCGAGCGCCACGTTGGCGGCGTCGAGCCGCTCGCAGAAGCGTGTGTAGTCGGCCGCCGGCTGGGCGAAGTCGAGCGTCCAGCGGGGCCGCTGACTGGGCGGCGGCGGCGACTCCACGCCTGTCACCTGGCGCAGGAAGCGCGCCGTCCAGCGCGGAGGCATGTGCGACGGCTCCCGCATCCAGCGAACCTGTCGAAGGACGGTGCGACGGTGAGCACGGCGGCGCGGAGAAGTCCGGCACAGTGGGGTGACGGGCGGGGCGGTTAGAGCACAGCGGAGTGATAGGCCGGCCGGGGAAGCACATCGGGATGACAGATAATGCGGGGAGCACAGCGAAGTGACAGGTGAGGCTGGGAACACAGGGAAGTGACAGGGGAGGCGGGGGAGCACAGCAGAGTGGCAAACAGGCGAGCGGGGGCGGAGGGGGGCGAGGGAAAGAGCCGAGCACAGCGGGCGACGGAAAGGTGGGACTTCATGACAGATGAGACAGGGAAGCGTGACGGGCGACGACGGCCAGCATCGTTTGATGACTCCCAATGGGGCGCCTCGCCGGGTGGCGGCGGGTGTGCACGTGAGGTGATGGGAGAGGTGGTCGGGCGACTGTCACGTCACATCATCTGCTAGGTCTTGCAGATATTCTGCTGCGTCGCGTCCAAAAGTTGCCACGCAATTTCACCTTAACGCATGCACCTAAACAGTGCGGCAAGAAATGGCCTAGCAATCCTCCCTCATTCACTGTTATGTTATGCCGGGGTGTCCATCAAACATTCGCCTTGAAAAGTTAAGCGAAACGTAAATATTGCAGCGCGAGCCTTCGGGCATTTCAAACATTATCAGAAACTGAAAAATAACACAGAGCCCGCAGCGTACACATAAACGATCCGATCATAAACGGAGAGTTTTTCATCCCAATGCAAACACACTGAGCCCATTCAGCGCAGGACAAATGTGTGAGCACGGATCACGGGAACGGCACAGCTCAGCCAGAAAGCTGGAAGGCTGACGGATGGTCCGAAACTTCTCCCTGACCAGTGGGTGAGATGCAGCTGCACACTGCGGCGCCTGGGTCATGCCTGAACTACCATTAGATAGCCAGTCACGACCGCAGGGAACACGGCACCCGGGAGAGCCGTGTTTGTCCTAAAACACGCCCAGAGGACCACCTGTCAAGCGATTAAAAGCACGGCAAACACGGCTCAGACTGCGGCTAGGGCCAGTCCCGCTCCGTAACGCAGGCCAGCAGATAAGCGAGACCCGCCGCAGCCCGGGCACGCTGACGGAGCGGAAGCGCCGACAACTGATCGTCTGAAACGAGCCTTCCGAGAAGCGCCGCATGGCAACCGGATGCGAGCGACCGAGGGAAGAAGCCCCGCTGTTGCGACAGTGTGCGGACGGCGCCGTCTGCGGGCCGCCAGCTGTCTGGCTCGCTCCTCTGAGCATACGGCCACGGCGGCAGGCGGCAACGGTGGCGCACAAAAACCAGTTTACACTGGATCGCAGATGGTTCGCTGTACTGCGTCGCCCGCCCTGGGAGCGCATTGCGGTTCGCCTTTGATATGGCGGTTCATTTGCGAGCCGGAAGGTTGGGCAAGGTCAGATGATCTGCAAGAAGGCCAGAACTGGGTGACGGGTGTTTTTGATAGTGTTGCGTTTGTAGGTCACTTTGGGCACATGCCGGTGAAAATGTCATTGGAAGACATCTGGGCGAATGTGTAAATATTGGATAGCATTACAAAGATGCAAAAATTAGGCCTTCCACAGAGCCTGTACCGCAGCATTTCCAAAGTTGGACGCATACGTTCCAAACCAAAATCAGGTTATATCATGGATTATTGCTCCAGGCTTTTGCCATTCCAAAACAGCAAGGAGGATTTTCTGAGGGGGGGGGGGGGCGACGGGCGTCGCTACGCACTCTTTTTATAGAGCGCCGGTGACCGCAGTGGCCTTATTGGTGCTCAAGGGCCCATGGCGCAACTGGGATTCGAACCCATGCCACCCGCGTGGGACCCCTCTCTGAGACACATTCCAGAGAAGTGCAACGCAAGGAGGTGCAGGCCAAGTGATTTACAAAGAAGCGATTGCCGAAGGCGTCACCGGCACGGTGTCATCGCCACTAAATCGTCCCGCTGTGAGGTTATGTATGCGCCTCCCTCGAAAGATTCAGACGCCACGTGTGCCCGACACTCGGTTTATAAACAGCTGGCCTCTGCTGACAGCAGCACGCCCGACCAGCTGTGATGCAAAATAGGTTAACGGGCAGCTCATGACCACAGAGCGGCGCGGCAGCGGCGGCCCGTCAAACGGACGAGCTGCTGTTGCTAATGTCGGCCAGCATTCATCACGGTTCTGGACACTGCGGACGGCACAGGCGCGCAACGGCGCCGTGTGCGCCTGTGTGTGCCTGTCGTCTGCGTGGCAGGCGCGGCGTCAGGCGGCCCGCCGCCGGCCGCGTACCGGCGCCGTGTGCGCCCGTGTGCGCCTGTCGTCCGCGTGGCAGGCGCACCGTCAGGCGGCCCGCCGCCGGCCGCGCACCGGCGCAAACAGGCGCGACGGGCGGCGCAGAGTCCGGCAATGACCTGTCGGCGGCCCTCTCACAGGCCGTCTCTCTGTGAACCGACGGCATACAGCAGAAGCGGCGTGCTCGGCGCGAGAGGCCGGCCATGAACCGCCAGCCAGCCAGGTCGCAGCCGGTCTCGGTAAACACACGTCGGTAAGCGGCGGCGACGTGTCCTGACGGGGGAGTGAGAGCACACAATGGGCATTGGAAAGGTCCGGGAAGCTGCTGTCGGACGAGGACGGCGAGACTTGTGTTCACCGGCGCTACTGAAGCGAGGAGCCGGCTAGATAATGCGTCGCCTTGGACCAATCACCCGATTATCAGGTCACCTAATTATCATAGCACGTGAGCTCAATCGCCTGATTATCATTTCACCTCATTATCATATCACGTGATAATGATATCACCTGATTGTTATATCAGGTAATAATCACAAAATAATCACAGACTGATCTTCTGACAAGTTGGCACATCTAAAATAAAAAACAATCAGACTCATCTATCATTTGGTATGCTTCTTATTTTTGACGGTTCCCCAGTGGATAACTATTCAATGTAATCCAGCCCATTCCATCCAAATCACCTTACAGGAAGGTTGCAAGAGCGGTAACCAAGCTGACGTCATCCAGCTCTATTCATCACGCATCGGGGAGCTGATACCACCCGCCACCCAAGGGACGCCAGCAGCAACGTAGCTTGCATACCAACAAACGTCGCTCCGCAGAAGCTCATGATCAAACGCCATCACTGCCTGATAAACAACACGCGCGCAGCTAGAGGTCACCCATCGCGGGTCGTACGCGATCTGCTCAGCTACCATTAAGCAACAAGTGACAGAATCTTACGCAAGACCGGGGAACGTTTACAGCCGGCGCCTACTGCTGCGCAAATACCGTGTCGCCACGGCAGGGGACGGGTCGCCCCAAACGCCCTTGTCCATCACTGACGGTCCCTGGTGTTAGTAAACGTTGCATAGCGACAGCCGCAGCCGGCCGCCCAGCTTTTCTGTTGCCTTTTTGAATTTATCGGTGTTAGTTCTTACTTGAGTCAACTCGGGGCGAGACAGCGCGGGTGGGAACCGGTCAGCTATCGCGCAGAGAAGCAAGGGATCTCGGCGGGGTTTGCAGGCGGGGTAACAGTCAGCTACAGGCATCCGGGAAGGGAGAGGTAGCTCCACCAGCCGGCCAGTGGCTGCCACCGGCGGGCGACTCGTTCAGGTCAAGTCGCCCACGAAGGTTCCAGTGGTGTTGTGGTTGACGCGTCTACGTTAAACACGGTGCGTTTGGGAAACCAGACGTACGGGGTTCGATTCCCCGCGGTACCCGCCCTTCCTGCCAGGCTGAGAGGCAGATAACGCCATATAGCCTCAGCAGCTGGGTGCGTCGTAAAGCCCCAATAACAACAAGTCGACCACGTTCCAGGGCACAGCGCGGCGTCCGCTAAGGGTCCTAACTAACGCAGTGGGCCAGGCCACACGTCGGGGACGGGGGGAGCGAGGGGGGGGGGGGGTAAAACAGAGGGGTGGCCATTATGATTCAAGCGCATAACGCAGCCTCTGCCCACGAAAACCTGATCAAGGTGACCGCTGGCCGATGGTGGACACCTCATCCATAATTCAGCGGCGCTGGGTGCCGGTATAAGGGACGGCGCTCCATATGCAGCCAGCAGCGCTTATGTCAGGGCCAGTGTGCGCCGGCGTCCGGCTTTCACGCATGCGCACTGAGCGAGCGAGGCCTTCTTGCTGTAGGAAATGATTTCATGTATGTACGCGGTTGCGGGGCGAGATCGTGCTGTTCACGCGGGTTCGGTGCAGCGCCCGCCGCGCATCCAGTGCGTCGGAGAGAAGCAAGAACAGCCAAACGTTCCCAAATTGAATGTCTTGCCACGCTTTGTTGGTCCTAAACGTCGACCTACATGTCACATGACCTACATGTCAGTCCAAATATCGACATCTGGTTGACAGAGCAGACAAATTTATACAAACGCAAATAATTGACATAAAACAGCTGTTACTAAAACGCGCCTTAAAACATTACGGTGAGGTAGCATGTTCCCAACCAATAGGTCAGCTAATGCTGATAGCCTACAGCTGCGGTAGCTCGGTTACGGGTAAACTAATGGTGTACGTCTGCAGCAGACTGCACGACCCGCTGTGGTGAGGCTTCGCCGGGTTCGGCTGGTTCAGTCAGCCGGCCGGCGCGTGCTGACCTCGTGACCCTGTTCCCGCTGCCAGCGGACAAATAGTGGAAACCGCCGCGCTTGGCCACCGTCGGCAGGCCGATGCCGCCGAGATTAGCATGGAGTGACGGGCCCCCCCCCCCCCCCCCCGCCACGCTTCCCAACGGAGCATACGTGGCCGGGTGGTTACGCCGTCGTTGGCGGCGCGTTTCACATGTTGGCGTTCGCGGGCCGATCCCAGATGCGGCAAATTTTCCATGACCCCAGTAACCAGTACAGCAGTGTGCTGGCGTACGTGACCACAGCAGCGATATACGTCCATCAATAGCCACGCACAGTTAATTGGCTGTGGAATATCAGCAGTATCCATGGTATGTATTACTGCCATTATATCAAATGTAAATTTATAAATATCAATATTATAGCCATGCAGCTGAAATAAAATGGGCGAAATATACAGAGACGAGTCTCACCTGCACAAGCGGCATGCCTCGGTCGTCAGCGAACACCACGCGTTTGTCCTTGGGGCCGGCACCGGCTCCGACGCCGTCGCGCCCGACCACCAGGATGGAGCGGGGCTGGCCCACGCCCGGCGACTCATCGTCCTCATCGTCCTCGTCCTCGTCCTCGTCCTCGTCGTCGGAGGGCGGCGCCGGCGAGCGGCGCTGGCAGCTGAGGCGGCTGAAGATGTTGCCACGCGGCTCGCCCCACGGACGGCCGGGACGGTGCAGCTCGGAGAGGAAGTCCGCCCCCAGCAACGGCGACGACGACAGGAAGTCGGCGCCCAGCCGCGGCGACGACGACAACACCGGAGACGAGGAGAGGCTGAAGACCTCCATGTCCACAGGGATCACCAGCGCACCCAGCGACATCTGTCGGACAAATGGCGAGTTAGCGAGGGAAATCCTGGAGATTGGGTTAGGCACGGTATTTGTAACTGAGTCTGTGATATCTGCCGTGTCTAATACGCCTGATAGCGGCACAATGATGGCGGCGTATAGCTCTCAGATCCACAGGGCAGCAAAAGTCAGACGCGGATTAGCGCAAATGAACAGCTACCGACGCAGAACTGGTTCTCATTATCAGCCAGAACACGCTGTTGCTGAAGAGATTACAGACGAGCCATCAAAAAAGGGTGGAATCCACACAGCCGAGTTACACTTTTCTGGTGAACGAGGTGATGTGAGCACCTACCATCAAAACGTCATCAATCACTACTCCTGGTGCAAACAAGACAAGTTGGACCGGGCTCGCTGGTATGCCTTCTGATCATCAAAACAGGTCGGTAATAATTCATGGTGTTAGCCAAAGCTGACGGCGAAAGGCAAGACTTCCCTCGGCGCCGACAGTGAAGAAAACTGACGGCAAAGACCGATGACTAGATGCGGTGGATGCAAGGCACCCAAGGTCCCTGCCTTTCCGCACAACCGCGGCACCAACAAAAACAGGGACGTCCTGCCGCGTCCCGGATCACGAGCCGCCAAGTAACGTATACAATGCAGCGGGATCGCGACAGCCGCTCTGCGTTGCCATCAACAGCGCGCATCATTGTCAGCGTCTTCCAAGGTTGCGCAGCCACGCTGACTGTCAATGCGCCTCAGACAGCTGAATGGGAATCACATCTTCCCCGAGGCTCAGTAGGACCGATGAGACCTGACGCCTGCCGGTGGCCGAGAGTAAGCAGCGGGCGGAGACGGAAGGGACTGATCCGTAGGACCGATGGGACCTGATGTCTGCCGGTGGCCGAGAATAAGCAGCGAGCGGAGACAAAAGGGACCGATCCGTAGGACCGATGGGACCCGACGCCTGCCGGTGGCCGAGAGTAGGCAGCGAGCGGAGACAGAAGGGACCGATCCGTAGGACCGATGGGGCCTGAAGCCTGCCGGTGGCCGAGAATAAGCAGCGAGCGGAGACAGACACACGCGTATCTGTTGTTTCAACGCAAGGTGACCTCCATCACGTCCCCGAGTCCGGTGCTCGCATACCTTGAGCCGATGTAGAGGATATGCCATCAGCAGGAAGCTCCCATTTAGCGCATGTTTCTTGACCAGTGGTCATGGCTTACATACCGAAACTTTCCAAAAGAACATTGCAGATGGAGATGACGCTTTGCGATTTATTCGCTTCATGCAACATCATGGACCTTAAGTTCATTTTCTTAGGTGCTGGGGACACAGCTCCATTTCCATTTAACAGCGCAGGTGCATTTATCCACGGCTTCATCTTAACCGCTGTTTTGAAAAGGCACATGCCATGCCATCATCCGTGATATTGAAAGCAGTCACAGGCTCAGCACATTGGTAATCTTTCACGGATCATGGGTTTCTTCATGCAGTGCTTTTCTTTCAGGGATATCCCCCATTGCTATAAATCCCTTTCCAAGTTCCTGAGCGCGTCGCTGTTTGACTGTGAGCCGGAAGCACGGCGGCAGATAGCGAGCAGCCGCAGCGTCTGAATTCCGAGATACCGTTCTTCCACGGCCTTCATTTGGGCAGAACCATGAGTCAATCCGGGGTCTTAGCCCGCGAGCGGACGCACGGAGCGGGCGATCAGCTAAGGGATTATAAAGTCAAACGAGCCCGCGCAGCCGGCCAGCTGCCGGGCCAGTTCAGAGAAGTTCACTCGGCCGTCCGCACCGGCCGAATTTATGGATGGTGGAATCACCATCCATACAATCAGTCGTGAGTGAACTTGCATGCCTCCGAGGCGTCCTCACACCCTTCAGCTCCCACCGCTTAGTGTGCTGAACACTAACATGAGACTTGGGCGTCGCGTTGGCAGACCGCCTTTCAAAGGTGAACCTCCCACCGATGTTGACAATTCCAGCCCGGGTTTAAGCGTGCCAAAACACAAGCTGTCGGATGTCTGTGGCACTCCACCGGCGTCACTCGCGTCTGTGTATCTTTCCAGCGTTACCAAGGCGCGTAGTAGCTGTCGTTGCCAGTCAACCCGGGGCGGAGTTCCAATGGACGACCTCAGCTCCCACAATGGTGCTGAACGGAGCCACATACGCGTGGCGGCTCGGCTGGCCACGGTCTCAGTCACGCCAGCACACTGCACCGCCTCGCCGACGGCCTCAGTTCCCACAATGGTGCTGAACGGAGCCACATATGCGCGGCGGCTCGGTTGGCCAGTGTCTCAGCCACGTCAGCACACTGCACCGCCTCGCCGACGACCTCAGCTCCCACAATGGTGCTGAACGGAGCCACATACGCGTGGCGGCTCGGCTGGCCACTGTCTCAGTCACGCCAGCACACTGCACCGCCTCGCCGACCATCTCAGCTCCCACAATGGTGCTGAACGGAGCCACATATGCGTGGCGGCTCGGTTGGCCAGTGTCTCAGCCACGCCAGCACACTGCACCGCCTCGCCGACGACCTCAGCTCCCACAATGGTGCTGAACGGAGCCACATATGCGTGGCGGCTCGACTGGCCACGGTCACGCCAGCACACTGCACCGCCCCGCCGACGACCTCAGCTCCCACAATGGTGCTGAACGGAGCCACATATGCGTGGCGGCTCGGTTGGCCAGTGTCTCAGCCACGCCAGCACACTGCACCGCCTCGCCGACCATCTCAGCTCCCACAATGGTGCTGAACGGAGCCACATATGCGTGGCGGCTCGACTGGCCACGGTCACGCCAGCACACTGCACCGCCTCGCCGACCATCTCAGCTCCCACAATGGTGCTGAACGGAGCCACATATGCGTGGCGGCTCGACTGGCCACAGTCTCAGCCTCACCAGCACACTGCACCGCCTCGCCGACGTGGACACGATACGGGTGGTTTCCCAGAAGGACGCGCTTCCGTGATCCCACCCAGCAGCGGCCATATCCGCACTCAAATCTAACCAGCGGCAGCCGCCGACCCTGGGACGAGCGCCGCGATTGCCGCGGCCTTGACCCAGTTCTGCGCGACGCGTAAGGCGTGATTCCGGCGGGATGTTCCGCACCGGCGAGCGTGGCCGCCGAGGAGTCGCTCAGCCAATCAACCGGTCAGCATCCGTCCCCAAGACCCCGGCCGAAGAGCGGGTCAGCAGCCGCCAGCGCGTGCCGTTCACGTGGATCACCCCGATCACGTTATCACCCAGTGGAGGCGTGCCTGCAGCCACGTGATCGGCGGCGGCGCGCGGGAGGGCCAGCTGCTGGAGCCGCCCCGCCCCGAGAGGCCGGGACGGGACCCAGACCCAGTGTGTTTGGAGCGGTCATGTTCCCGCGAACTGGAGATATCAGCCGACCGGCTGAGGGCCGCCAGCCGGCGCGGCCGACGGCCGATGGCCGCCAGCCGCCGCCGCCGCCGCCTCATGGCCCACTCAACTCAGGTCGTTGTCCTCTGCACTGGTGGGCGTCACTGACATGTCAAACGCCGTCGCGTGTATACTTATCTAAAAGTAATGGTCGCAGACGGTCTGCACTTTATGGCTTTAAAGCAAATGTGTCGTAAGTCACAGCGTGTATGTAGTATATTTTTACTGGCGTTCACAATGTGACGCTGTACATCACATTGGCACGACACCGATGTTTCCCATATTCAATTATCCACTTAAATTGCAAAATCATCCACCACACGTGCGCTGCTGAACATTGCGAGCCGGTAGTTGGAACGCTGTAACATTAAGGCATCTATATGGCGTGCCCTGGCCGGTTTTGGCCTTCTTTTCCTGGTGTGCACGCTTGCAGATATCTTGCAAGGCCTCTGGTGTTTAAAGATAGCGACCACAGCCGGTTAAATGATATACTGTGATGGTAAGATGGGACTGTTAGTTGCACGCAAAACGAACTTCCTGATGGCATGCAAATACTTCAGCGAAAGCGCCCAAAGCGGAAAGGATCGATAAAACAGCATGTAGTCCCGAGGCGAACTGGAACGAGACCTACGGCGAATACGAAGACAATCTACCGTTCCGCTTAACGATGTCTGCAACACTAGGCCGCGGTGTCCAAGACAGCAGTCAGCCGGCACGTGCATCCCGGACCCGCTCCGTGCGCCACGGACACCTCACTACCTCACCTCACAGCGCCAGCCAGCGCTCACAAGCCACAGGGGTGCCAGCCGTCCGCAGGGCGCGTGCCCGCCCCAAGCCAACTGACCTCGCGCCGTGGCAGATTGGGACTGTTCACCATGTCGGCTCGGGTGCAACGTGCAGCAGCGCGCGACTCCTCCCGCGACCCGAGCCAGAGGACCACTGAGGGGCGCCACGCCGCGCCGTCCTGCCTCACCGCGCCCCGGCCCCCTCGAGGCCAACTGCGCCACCGACGCCGCGCCAGCGCCGCCGCTCCGCCCACCGCCCCCTGCAGGGCACGCCCCCAGAATTCCACGGCCAGCGCGGAGGAGAGCCCAAGGAATCAAAGTGGTGTAGTTCGAACGAGTCGAGCATCTTTTAATACGTATTGTTCATCCCTCGTCCAGGCGCAGTGGGCACCATCCATGTATAACGCCTCAAATACAACTTGGGAAGCGTGGTGGCTCGTTAGCATTCACCAATTCCCGGTTCGCGGTTTCCACAATTATTTTTTGGGCGGGGCGCTCACCGACTTTGCAGGCCCTATGCTGGCTGCTTACCAGCAGTGCCACTTGTTGGGGCCGTGCGCTTAACAAGCGACAGTGCGTCTTGTGCCGACAGTGATTATGCACCGAAAGGCAGCGCCAGATCAGGGCGGGTCGGGGCGGGGCGCCAGGACAGAGAGCAGCTCACACAGAACAGCTTTGTCGCTTGTGTTGGCGGCACTGGCAGGCAAACACCGAACACGACACATGCTCGTGCCTTCGCGGCACTGGCAGGCAAACACCGAACATAACACATACTCGTGTCTGTTTTCTTCACAGTGACTTCTCCCTGTGAACTCTGCTTGAAAACTAGGCAAGGAGCTAA